GGGAGACAAATCTGAGAATGTATTCATCACCTTTATAATTCATGAACTATAAAGGTTTTTATTTCTCTTCTTTCAGAATGAAGGTGGAAATCGAACCTTGTTCGACCAGCTGGAGGACTTCCGTATTGACCCAGCTCAACCTAGAAGTGGACAGGTTGGTTTCTGAAGAAAAAAATATTCTTTTGAATACTTCAGTGTAATCTGATGGCTTTACTATTAACCGTTTGGATGACAACAATACATCTTTTGGTGTCTTCCAGGATGCGGAGGATCTCATGGAGTGGTGGAACTCAGTGGAGTGTGAGTTATAAACGATGTTTCTCACTTTGTTTGGCGTCATTTCTGCATGGTCAGAAAGGCTCCACGTGCCTTGTTTATTCACTTTCACTACAGGACCAGAAGTATGTTTTTATATCACCTTTTCATTTTATTATCAGTTTTTAATCAAAGATATTTCTTTTTAAATACCTCCCAGCCATGTTTTGGCCCATCTATGGAAATCTTACTGCTGCAGCATGTAGTTATATGGGGGGGGGGGGTGCCATGGTTGAATATGACACAATAAACCAGGTCAATAAAGACAATGATGTATGACCAGAAATGAGAACCTAAATCTGAAAAGCCAAAAAACAAATGTAAAGGTCAAATCTGACACGCCCTCAACCCATCATTATAAAAAAATGTTCAAGCCAACATCTGTGTTTTACCTCTCAAATCAACTTTTTCTGGTTACCCAGATGGTACCTGACAAAGTGTAGGGCTCTACCCATACTCCATTTAACACTTTTTGGAAAGTACTACATCACAAACACACACCATCGCCTGACCCCTCCAGTGGTCTTTTGGCTGATTTTTGAACAAACTGTACCTGCAGCCAGGTCCTGATGTAGTCTGGGAACCTGAAAACAAATAGAGCAGACTGTTTAGTACTTTTTGAAGGAGATGCTTGAAATGTCTCTGGTTGTCCCCAAACTTTTATAACAATATGATAAAGCCAAATATCTCATTGAGCTGCATTGTTTTTACTTTCTCAGCTTGGGAAGAAACGCCTCAGGATGAAGACATGACAGAAAAAGAAGAGGCCAAGTAAGTGACATCTCAGTCTGTTGTTGATTAAATATTTCACTGATTAAAGTGAATTCCATGACCCTGGTTTCAACTCAGACGTGAAATCCATTTTGACAGGAAAAAATGTCTCTGAAACAATTTCACCATTATAAAGAATAATCCAAAGAACAAGCTGTCACGAGATCTTAAAGGGATGTATTGGGAAAGATGATGCATAACTCAGTAATAAAATAAAACCATTATATGCATTGCTAGATACATTTACAATAAGTGAGAATTGAAGACACAGTGAGTCTGTCTGTGTCTAATCACTCCTAACTCTCTCCTCTCAGGGCGTTTGCTGTGACGGCCGACAAGGTGCAGAAGGGTATCCGTGTCTTTAACAAACTGTTCTCAGAGCGTGCTGAGAGCCTCTGGATGCACGTCGTCGACCTCAACAGCATCGCCGACGGCCTGGACAAGTTCAGCAAGAACACGAAGATCGCTCAAATCACCGGCGGCTCCACCAGCGCCATTGGAGGCGTCGCCACCATCACGGGCCTTGCTCTGGCCCCGGTCACCATGGGAGTGTCCTTGATTGTCACAGCCGTGGGATTGGGTGTTGCAACAGCAGGGGGTCTGACATCGGCAGGGGCTGGCATCTCCAACCAGGTCAACAACTCCATGGACCGCAAGAAGGTGGAGAAGATCGTGCATGACTATCAGGAGAAGATGGTCGACCTCAACAAGTGCCTGAAATTCATCAAGCAGGGAATCGAGAACCTGAAGAGGTTTGACCTGATCAAGATGAAAAAGCACGCCTACAACCGCGACTTCCCCGTGCTCAGCAGCAGTTTCTACGAGGACGGTGCCATGGCGGGAAAAGCCATCCTGGTCAACGCTAATGAGATCATGCGCGTCGTGCAGATCGCCAACGTGGCCGGCAGCACGGCGGCCAGGGCGGTGCAGATCGCCAGTATGGCCACTGGGGTTCTCACTGGTCTCTTCGTAGGCATGGATATCTACTTTGTGGCCAAAGACTCCAAAGAACTGAAGAAAGGGGCCAAGTCAGAGTTTGCCGCCAAAATCAGGGAGGTGGCTACGCAGCTGCATGACGGTCTAGTGGAGCTGAACACGATCAGACAAGAGCTGCAAGCGACCTCACCAGAAAACGGCAACAATCCAGCTGCCGTGGACACCGAGAAGAAAGAGAAGGACGACAAATACAGCAGCTCAGACGAAGATGAAATCGACCGCATTAAAAAGGCCATTAAAAAGGACTACGAGAACCGAGAATATGTGTGACAGAAGCCTCACAACTGGAAAAGGCCTCACGTTCAAACAGAGAAGTCACTTCACCACCAGTCCCCTGACAAAAATATAAGCATTCCTGTGACTTGTTGCACTTTACGAGGATGGGTGTCACCCAGTCTTAAAGGGATACTTCACCCATTTGCATTAAGCTTTGTATCATTAGAAACCTGGTAGTATTTTTGCAGTAAATTTCGGAATCAGTTGAGGAAATGGCCTTATGTACTGAAGTAAGTATGTCTGTAAATGTTTTTATTACTATATTTCTACTGCTGACCCGATGTCAAGACAGATTCATCTTTCGACGGGTGAAGTATCCCTTTAATACAAAAAACTACAATCAGCTTATTGTGAATGTCAAAAGAGGAGACACCACTCTCGACCTTATACACTAGTTACTAACTTTCCTTTGGAGAACTGACTTCTTGATTCTGAACACTACAGCTGAGGCTTTGCGGTACTAAAAAAAAGTCTCACATCTGCTTCACTGGCAGCTGTGCCATCGTGAGAAACTGCCACGTTTTTAAGGACGACAAAATGGGATTCAGAAATCAAACAAAATCATGCACATGTCATGGTATGGTTTAAGATGACCGAAAGGAAACGATTTTCTAGATTTGATCATTTAGACTTTAAACCATGCTTGAGTTTAATCTGTGTGTTTGTTCATATTGAAACTTTTACCAACTGTAGCGATCCTGATCCTTGGTGAACATGATATTTATTTTTAGTTCAGGGTGGAGTTGTTTATTATTATGACAGCTTTTTTACGTGCAATATATTGTCAAATTCCATGTGTACTAAATGTAAAAATTGAATCATTAAAAGTCTGAAAAACATTCCTGTCAATCTGTGCTTTTTTTTTTTGTTCGGGCCGGGAATCTCTGGGTGTCTCACGATTTGATTCAGAATTTATTCTCGATTCAAAATGATTCTTGATTCAAAGTCTATTTTTGAATTTGTACATATTTCTGGATCTACTCCAGTTATCTGTGAGACCGGCTGAATTTCCTGCTGCTCCATTTGGCATTCTGATGAGTTTAAGAGCTAGCATTAGCACTTAGCAGGGAGTGACTGATAAGCCCAAAAACAAAATGATTTTTGGAAGTTATGAATCTATTTAAAATCTAACAAGATAAGGAATCATGATTTTTTTTTTTCCCCCACCTCTAGTTTTTGTTAAGTTTACATGGAAGGAAACAAAAGACTGAATTTCCGTCTACCTACTTCTCTGCACTTACTGGGCTGCTATTTGTTAAGTTATTGACCAAGATAACAGTGTTTGTCAAAGCTTGCTTGAACGGTGTTTACTTTTCTTCAGAGATTTTTTATGATGAATGTAGACGGAAGAATGCTAGCTGCAAAATCACTGCGTTCTGGCGTCCATTTCTTTTATGGTGTACAATAAAAAAAATTATCCTAAAACAGGAATGCCTTATTATTTTTGTGACTGTTTACAACACACATCCTTTTTTTTTTCTTTTTTTCTTTTTTATTGGTGATAAGGTGAATACATAGACATGACAACTAAAGCAAAAACAAACAAAAAAATAAAAATAAAAATAGATACAAAAAAAGCAAAACATAAGCAAAGATACAGAGCGACAATACAGACAAAATACATTTAAATGAGATGAGAGTCAAGCAATGATTTTAATGTTCAGATAAAGTGTTAGAAAGGTGTGAAATGTGTTCCTGGGAGCTTAATGCATTAAAGTGCGGAATATAGTGGGGAGTAGCGAGAAAACAAACAAAAATATGAATAAATGAAAAATACATTTAAAATTAGTTAGAGGAAAAAGTATATATGCATGTAAACATCAATGGAAAGAAGATAAAATTATATAAATGTAATTATGTGACCATCATAAAAAGAGAGGTGATGGTAATAAATATATATATATAATAATGAATATACACAATATCCATAGGTGTACATCATGCTATTCAGATCATAGAGATGTCGTAAAGAAGAAGAGCAGAGTACAACAGAGAGTTGGGGGCCACAGGGTCCCCGCGGAATCAGGCGAGAGGCCCCACCCTCGCACATAAAGCCCCCCAGCGGCACCAGCGAAAACTCCCATTACAACACTTTCCAACAGCAGGAAGTTAAAAGTTAAAGTTGAAAGCAGGCAGATCCTCACAGTCCTACAGCTGTTGTTGTTCAGAAGTGTGTGTTTAACTGTGCTGGTGGCTGTGGTGAGCTTTCATCTTTTCAACTTCCTTTTCAATTTGCATTTAAAAATCGATGGGATCGTTTTTCTTATTGACCCTGACTCTAATGACACGTTTTATTCTATCCATACTTTATCATGTGCTTTGCTTCGTGCTTTGATTTTTTTTTTCTATAGGCCTGTATGTTTGGAGAAACAAGTACACGTAGGCTGCTAAACTTGCACATTGCATTAAGTGAAAAGCTATTTTATTTAGGCTATGTAGTGAGAAGATGAATATCATAAATGGTTTATTAACAAGTAGCAGAAGGCGTTTTGTATTACTATAACAGGTATGTAAAGAAATCAAGACCCAATCTGTATATATTCTAACAAAAACTCTGATTTCGGAGCTTTCTTCGGAGCTCTTGAACGCATCGTGCGTGACAGATGTTGTTGAGCGGGTGTGGTGAAGTTAAACTCCTGGGAATGTCGTGTCCGTGAAGGAGCCGAGTGTCTACTTCTCAGGTTAGATGTGTTTTTCTATAAAACTGGATTTAAAGTTCCTCAGCCGCGTCTTCAAATCTTCGGTATGTAAAAAGTCTGACATCAACGCGTCTCCGTTTCAGAGCTTCAGACGTTTTACTGTTTTTAATTTACCTCCGTTTAAATGAGGACTCTTTCCAAATTGTCACTGTGAGCTCAAGGCGGAAATTCATTGGATACAAGTTTATCAGAGCAGACTTAAGTTATAGTTTTCGGAAATGTGTACCGTAGTCCTACTTCTCCAAATACTTCATACAGTGGCTGATGTTACTGTGTAGTTCCTGTATTAAAACTTCTGTCAGGCTAATTGAGGGTTCAAATGAGCTACTTTTAAAGGTGGCCTTTCTTCACCTGTGAGGTGCTTGTTCTTCTTAATTGCCTTCTTTTTTTGCTTCCGTTTTTTGTTTCTTTGTAATTGCCTGCTAAATTGTATTATGTAGCCTAGAGGTGAAATGTGGTAAAATGAAAGGCTACAGAGTGATGCTGATAATGCAGTTTTTTAATGCAGAGATTTGATCAGGTGTCTGATATTCAGGGCTTTAACTTTTTTTTTTTTTTTTTAGTTCATTATTTAAAAAAAATAAGCTTAGAAAAAGTCATGGATTAAATATAAATGTATTTCTCAGAATTAATCAGGACATATTCCAACATCTAAACCAATAATTTTCAACTTGTGGGTCTGGACCCAAAAGTGGGTCGTGAAGTGATTTTTAGTGGGTGTTGTGTCAAAGATGTGGCAAAAGGTCTATGCTGAGCTTTTATTTGAAAGAACATGTGTTGTAGGGTTGATTACTGAATTCCCTCCTGGGATTAATAAAGTATTTCTGATAATGATTTATACTTACTTAGCAGGTTGGAGGCCGTGATGCACCGTGACGCTGGTCATCTGCCACTAACGACAAGAGCAGAAGGGAAAATAACACAGGGCTGCATAATGTTTCATTAAATACATTTTAATGGGTGAAACATTCTAGAAATTTGGGTCATGAATTGCCATTTAGGATGTGTCGGCAGGTAACTGGTAAATGAACTCGAGCTTGTAAAGCGCTTTTCAGTCCTCTGACTACTCAAAGAGTTTTTACACTGCAGGTAACACGAACACATTGACACACTGATGGTAGAGGCTGCTGTGTAAAGTGACCGTCAGAGGTAACTAATCCATTCATACACACTCACACGCCACTGATGTAACATCAGAGCAATTTGGGATTATTTTGGGGTCTTGCCCACCAAGGACACATTGACATAAGGCTGCAGGAGCTGGGGATCGAACCCGTAAAATGATGCATTTGGATGAGTTTAAATCTAAGCAATAATTAAATCATTGTTGATTGCTTTTATTGTGGTTTGTCTTATTATGTTGTTCTCTCAGATAAAGGGGTCTTTGTTATTATGCTGAAGTGAAGGGTCCAAAGTACTGTCTGACCTCTGATGATAAAACAGATCGCTTTGATTTACCTGCCACGTTTTAAACAGATTTAGTTTGAGTAAGTTTGCATGATTGCTCACTCTGAGTCGTCGTAAAGAAGAGACAGTAAATAAATCTGAGTCCCTGAGTGGGTCAATAAAAGGTCAACAGGGTCACTAATTGCCCAATAGAGACTGAGATAAGTGGGTGACTCAGATTTCCTGAAGGAGGGTTATTCAGACTGAATAAACATAGAAGTAAACGTGCTCTGTCTGCTTGTAAAATACAGTCATGGGAAGAATGGAGAACATGTTGAACCAGTATTTAAAACAAGACATGACACTTCCACTTGAAAAAAGAAGAAGAAGGTTTTCATTATTTTATAAAACAAAAAAAAAAAGCAATTCTTTATTCTATCACCAAAGTCGCTGAAGATGATTCTACAATCCTTCAATTCATACAGACACCGGGGAGTAAGAACAACACAAGCGAGGATCTAGAGAGGAGGAAACAGCCTTTAGTAACGTGGATTAAATCACATAAATGGGACCAACTCCCTGCTGTCTCTATAAAGTCAAAGTGGACATGCACACTTCTAGCCTTTAATGAAGGCTCTGGACCTAGACGTGTATTTTCCTGATGTGGTGTGAGTTAAATCTGTGCGCTGAAGCTCTACTCAGATAATACAAACCTGGAGGACGTTGAGTGTGCTGACTTTTCTGTTTCTTGTAGTCTTTTATCGGCCGTGCACCTGAAGTTTTACTACTGTTTGGGTGTGCTCCTTTTTGCAGTTTTGTAGGTAAATCACACGTTTACTAAATGACATTAATGATGTCTGCGTTCAGACTCTGAGTAACCTTCATTATGTGTTGATTTTAGAAAGGCCCACGTCCAGTCCTCTTATCTCTCTGCTTATCGCTTCATGTAAATGTGTGTTGTATTTATGCAAAACATGTTCTTCTTCCCTTTAACTGTCTAGAGAACTGCCTACTGTGACATTTTGCCGTGGGAAAATGTCTCAACTGCTCGTTCCCTTGGTGCTGTATATCGCTTTGGTGTGATCCAACCCTGTGACAGCATTTAAAAAAACCCAAAACCTTAAAGAAATAGTTAACATTGTAGCTGACAGTGTGGTTTGCTTCCGTAAGTCAAAAAGAGGCAACAGTTTTAATTTGGCTCCCTTTCTTAACTGGTTTAAAAAAACTCCTCACAGTATGCAGGATTGCAGAATAACAGAGCGCTGGTTTTAAACTCCTCAGAGCTGCAGGAAATTGTGGCTTGAAGTCTTGGAGCTCACAGGGGAGGATCTTGTAAAATGAAAGAAACGAGCTTTAAATCCCTTCAATAAAAGATGCTCTCGCTCTCCTCTGTGCTATTGATTCTGTATGATGGTGAGGATGGAAAAGAAGACAACGTTAAATACCTTGGAGTGTTAACGTCCTCTAGGCATCTTAAGACATGTTGGGGGCGGCGGATAACATAGCAGTAATGAGCTATGTTAGGGTATATATCATCATATCCCTAAAATGTCTATTAAATTGATTTGAAAGACACACCATCCTTTGTTGTGAGATTCTCATATTAGGTTTTTTTTTTTTTTTTTACCTTAAACTTCAGGTAATTTGCTGGAAAACTTTCAGAGTTATTTTTAAGACCTGGAAGATGATGTGCAACTCATTTCATGTCTTTTAAAAAAACTATAAACTTCAAAGATTTCTTGTATAAAAGCAGTTTTTTTTTTTACTCACTACATAAACTGACTGTAAGTAGTAAATGTTTGGTACACATCCCCATGCCTATGTGGAATGCAAAGGTAAATTACAAACACCTGTGCTCCTCCTGTTCTGGCACGTTAAAAGGTATGCAGAAAACAGTGTGAAGGGGTTTTTCACTTTTTTCTCATGAGGCCCAGTGGATTTAAAGTGAACCATGTGACCCTTCAATCAGCCTGTTTGAACTGAATCTCTCTGTGTCACTGTTACAGGCAGGATGGAGATGATGAAGCCAGAAGTCAAAAAGAAACCGGTAAGAGAATGTTGCTCTAATGCTCGAGTGTATTTTAAAAAACAAACATCAAACTCAAAGTGTGACCTCCTCTTTCATACATGACATACACACTCAGATCTCACAATGCTCCTTACTTTATCTTTCCACAGCCCAAAACTCTGCCCAAACCGTCTGAGGTAATGACACCTAAATACAAACCTTTAGTTATGAAGCTGTTAGCAGGTTCTCCTCTGATTTTCATTTAGGATCGCTACGTCTTTATCTTTCCAGTTTAAGAGAAATGACGCAGAGAGACCGACTCCTCAGGTGCCTCAGCGACCGGCAGATGACGTAAGACGAGCATCTTTTAACTTCTGGTTTTCATATGCGGATCTCTGCTTCCTGTACTGTGACAACATTTAAAAATAAACACTTGATAAGGTCACGAAATCAGGAATAATTTGTCTTTTTCTCTGTGCAGGAGCTGAGTCACACACAATACAGGGTGAAAAATGCAGCAAAAGCGTATAATGAGGTAAGCAACGCAAGGTAACGTGTAACTATGGCGATGGTGAGGTGGGCGAGGGATCATAGGTGTCATGCATTTTTTTTTCCATTTACCTCCATTCACTCTCAGACCCATTTGACTGTGAGGTTTCATACAAGGTCAATGCAAAATCATAGATAGATGCAAATTCATGTTGTGTGACGGGAATATCACCCACAGCGAAATAAAACAATGAGGTACGCAAGTTCTCTACAGTCACCTCTTTGACAGAACAGTTTTAATTTGGATGTGACTGACATCACATCAAAGATTAACGTGACAATTTATACACAATACATGCATACAATATAAAACATACAATACATATGTGAGTTCAGTGATATATATGTATTTATACTGAAACACACTCATTACTATGATATTGATATTATAATAAATTCTGCCTATCATCGCCTTTACACATATTTTAGGCGGCAGTAGCTCAGTCTGTTGGGTTGGGATCCGGAGGGTCGCCGGTTCAAGTCCTGGTGCAGACCAAGTCTAGAAATTAGTCTGGTAGCTGGAGCGTTTGCCAGTTCACTTCCTGAGCAGTGCCAAGGTGCCCTTGAGCTAGGCAGCACCAGTATCTGTGTGTAGCATGTTCAACAACAGAGTGTACATTTTAATTTCCCCTCACGGGATTAATGAGGTTTATCTTCTTATTATTACTTCACATTTTCTAAATATCACTTAACATGTCTTTTCATTGTTCCTCCTGTTTTTGTCAGGCAAATGGAAACCTGACACAAAGAGAGACAAGAGAGAAGCAGTCTGAAACGCCCGAGGTTCCACCCAGACCCGCAGAAAATGTACAGTACACCCTGATAACATTCAAAATCAGCAATCAGCATCCAGCAGTGCAGTCAGACCTTTCTAACAGGAAATGTTTCAAATGATTGAGTTTTGTGTCAACGTGTGTGTTTGCTTCTCGTCAATAGAGTCTTGTTTCTGAAAAAGGAGATGACTCTTTCACCTTTTTAGTCTGTGTGAAGTATGAGAACAGTTTACTGTAAAGACTCACTCAGAGCTACACCAGGTGTCGTGTTTCTGTCCTGTTCATAAAATCTTTTTTCTGTTTTTCTCAGACTTAGAGGTTCAGTATTTCTGCTTTTTAGAGCTTATACCTGCCAACTAGGACCTCCTTTATAAATATTGAATGAAATATCTTCCATCGTATTAACATCTGCTTTGTTGTTTGTAGAGAAATCAGAACGCCCTGTCTGGACTGTTTAAGAGGAGCCAAAAAGAGAGGCCACCTTCATTCACTGTAAGCATCACAGCTGCATCAAAAGAATGAAAGTCTGACTCGTTTCTATTTGAGTGTTTGGGATATTTTATACAGGGCACACTTTTTACTCCTCAGCAGGTATTCGTTGGTCCTTTTGATTTGCATGGCGTTGCCCAAATATAAAAAAACTAAACATGTGACAAAAAAAAAAGTATATGATGAAGCAGAGCCATGTTTTTTAGGTTCAGGGATGTATTTATTATCCCTGGGAGAGGGCGTTTTGCATTGCAGTCTGCAGAACATAATTTATTCATCCAACCTAGCAAGCAACATAAAAAAGACACTAAGAAGTAAAAGTAGGGCATGCACCCCGGTTATGGCGGCAGTAGTCCTCCAAGCGGACAGCCCGGGTTAGAATCTGACCTGTGGCTCCTCTCCCGCATGTCATTCCCTGCTCTCTCTCTCCCTGATTTCCGACTCCCTTCACTGCCTTTTCTATACAATATAGACTAAAAAAGGCTAAAAATAAACCTAAAAACAATTCAAATGGACATATATACATGAGTTTAAAAAGGATAAAAAGCAAAAACAACCAGTGGACATATATACATGAGTTTACCTGTGGCTCCTCTCCCACATGTCATTCCCTGCTCTCTCTCTCCCTGATTTCCGACTCCCTTCACTGCCTTTTCTATACAATATAGACTAAAAAAGGCTAAAAATAAACCTAAAAACAATTCAAATGGACATATATACATGAGTTTAAAAAGGATAAAAAGCAAAAACAACCAGTCATTTATAAAGACAATAGCAGCAGGGACAAATTAGTTACTTAGTCTCCTTATCCTGTATGCTGGCAGACTGAATCTGGACGGAAGCAGCGAAAAATCTTTCAAACAAAGGATAACTGTCTTCTTTTAAGTCCTTATTTTAAGTCCTTATTTGGTACAGGAGTGTAAGGTCACTAAGGGTCAGCAAGTGTATAAATTAAAATGTATAAATGTCAATAAAAGTAAACTGTACATAAGAAATGTAAAATGTTCTTGCAAACTGATGTTGCCTGAGTTGAACAGGTTCCTAGAGGAGACAGGTGTGTGTGTGTGTGTGTGGGTGTGTATACTTATTATGTAGATACAGAAGGTGTGTCAGCATGTGTCAGCTGCTGGATGATTCATCACAAACTAAATTAAGACTCATTCACACATCAGGATTATAATAAGAAAAGGAACTAAACAAAGTGTCTGGCATATAAAAAGTTGTATATAGAGCAGAATCTGGTTTTAGTTTAAGGTCTTGAATCAGCACTTGTTGAGTCTTGGTTTGCTTTTTCTTTCCTCAGACATACGTGACCCACGACTTGGACAAAGAGGAAAAAACTGATGATGCCCCGCCTAAGCAGGCTCCGGCAAGCAAACAGGTTTGTGTGTTTTTTTAATTTTTTTTACTGTTTTTTAAACTGTTTTCAGATCATAATACTTGATGTTTTTGTCATTAATTTATCTCCTCACAAAGATGTACAGTATGTTACATTGAACTGCTGTATATGTTTAAAGCTGAGTGTGTTCTCAAGACACTACAAGGATGAGTATTTTTTTTTACTTTGAAGAAACACTTAATTTCTTAGTTTTTTTCCGAAAGAATCCAACTCTAAATCACCAAATAATTTTTTTCTCAGTCACTCAAACACATTAAAACACATAAAACATACAAAGTGCACATGCATGGTACACCAATAGAAATGAGCCGAAGTGCGCGGATTCCAATCGTACAATTTGATAAACAAGTTTAATTGTAAAATATACGAAGACTAGAATATTAAAATAGATAATAAATAAATGAACCATTAGGAAGCATGACACCAGCTTCACAGCCTGTTATCTCTGTCCCCCATTCATGAAGTTACAACAACCACATCGAGTAGCAGAGAGAAGAAACAGAAGAAGAGAAAAACAAAAACAATCTCTATCTCAGAAGAGCGTTCAAAATCGAAAAGTAACTGTAGTTGCCAGTCAAATATAGTTAAGTAATAAGTATAATGTGCCTCATATTCATAAAATAGATATACACAACTAAAGCACAAGAACCCTGTAGTGGTAGTGTACATACTCGTAGTTAGTTAAGTTAATAATAAGCAGCTGGTTTTTGACGTGTGACTGTGATTGACAGGGCGGTCTGAAGGAAATAATGAAAGGGTTACAAATCAAGTCGTCCCCAAAGGTATGAAGAAGTGTTTGGTTTGGTGTTTGTTGCTGGTGGTGGCTTAAGGGCTTTAGATCTCGGTGACATTTTATAAGAATTACTGGGTTAGCTCACTGGCGGGAGCTGTGTTGATGGTGATGGGGGGAAAAATTTTAATGTTTTTTGGGATATTTGTTTTGACTTTTAAAACATCACGTGTTCACCTTTAAATAGATTTTTTTTATTTAACCTGTTGACTAAAGGAGAGATGTACGGCGGAGTATTAGGGCCACGTTAAGGCCGTGTTATTCTCATAAATGTACGACTTTAATCTCTTAGTCTCTGATTTTTTCACCTTGATGTGGCCCTCATACTCCTTTATCAAGGTCACAGTCAGTCTGAGATAAAATTGTATTATGTTTTCTCTTCTCCAAGCTGTTTGTACAAAGTAAAAAAAAAAAATCCTTGATCATGATTTTGTGCTGAAGGTTGTTGACTCTTCTTTTAGACAAGCAGAGAGCCGAGTCCGGATCAAAGCGGAGCGGAGGGCCGATCAGAGAAGGACGAGCCTGCAGAGAAAAACAAGCAGGAAAAGAGTTCAGAACCAAAACAGGTATACGAGAATGACGGTGACATTAAAACACTGTCACAGTTATCCACTGCTCTGGTCGTGTTAATAAACCACTTCTGCTTTTGACAAACACTACATTAAGGCAAGGCAAGGCAAGTTTATTTATATAGCACATTTCAACAACAAGGCAATTCAAAGTGCGTCACACAAGACATGAAAAGCATCATGACAGAGGAAAGAAAAGAAACATTAAAATAGAACATTAAAAAAATGAAAAAAATCACTGTAATTATTAAATCTGAACATATGTTCAAATAAAAATAATTCAAATGAAATTAATTCAAATAAATAAAGTAAAAATATAAAAAGAGTTCAAAGTTACAGTGCAGAGTTAAAATGTAAAATCTTATTAAAGCTGTTTAATGAAAGGCAGCTGTAAACAGGTGTGTCTTCAACCTCGATTTAAAAGAGCTGAGAATTTCAGCAGACCTGCAGTTTTCTGGGAGTTTGTTCCAGATATAAGGAGTATAGAAACTGAACGCTGCGGTCTGGATGGTTCATAATTAATCAGGAGGTCACTAATGTATTTTGGCCCTAAAACTTTAAGAACTTTATAAACCAGCAGGAGGATTTTAAAGTCTATTCTCTGACAGACTGGGAGCCAGTGTAAAGACCTCAGAACTGGACTGATGTGATCCATTTTCTTGGTTTTGGTGAGGACTCTAGCAGCAGCGTTCTGGATCAGCTGCAGTTGTCTGACTGATTTTTTAGGCAGACCTGTAAAGACACAGTAATGTTGCAGTAATCAAGATGACTGAAGATAAAAGCATGGACAAGTTTTTCAGGGTCCTGCTGGGACATAAGTCCTCTGATTCTTGATATGTTCTTCAGGTGATAGTAGGCTGACTTTGTAATTGTCTTAATGTGGCTTTTAAAATTGAGGTCTGAGTCCATCACTACACCCAGATTTCTTGCCTGGTCTGTGGTTTTAAGTCTTACTGACTGAAGCTGATTGCTGACTCTTAGTCACTCCTCTTTGTTCCAAAAACAACAACCTCAGTTTTGTCTTTGTTTAGTGGGAGAACATTTTTGCACATCCACTCATGGATTTGCTCTATGCATTTACCCAGTGCTTTTATGGGACCATGGTTGCCTGGCGACATTGTAATATATATTTGTGTGTCGTCTGCGTAGTTATGATAACTTATTTTATTGTTTTTTATAATCTGAGCTAGTGGGAGCATGTAGAGGTTAAACAGAAGAGGCCCCAGGATGGAACCTTGGGGAACTCCACAAGTAATTTTTGTTTGCTCAGATTTGAAGTTACCTATAGACACAAAGAAGTCCCTGTCCTTTAAGTAGGGTTCAAACCAGTTTAGTACTGTGCCAGAAACTCCCACCAAGTTTTCCAGTCGGTCGAGTAATATATTGTGGTCGACTGTGTCGAACGCAGCCCTGAGATCAAGTAAAACTAAGACTGATGTTCTGCCACTGTCAGTGTAACAGATGTCATTAAACTCTTTAACCAAAGCTGTCTCAGTGCTGTGATTTTGTCTAAAACCTGACTGGAAGACATCGAAACAGTTGCTCAATGTCAAGAAGTTATTTAACTGTTGAAAAACAGCTTTTTCGATTATTTTACTTAAAAAAGGAAGATTTGATATAGGCCTGTAATTGTTCATTATTGACTTGTCTAGATTGTTCTTTTTTAATAGTGGCTTGATGACTGCTGTTTTCAGGGCCTGTGGGAAGACACCTGAGAGAAGAGACAGGTTTACATGTGAAATGATGCTATTGACACAGGAGGGTTTGTTAGCCTGTCGACAGTAGCAAACAGGGCACGAGCATTATTGATGTGTTACATTAGTGACTGAGGACAACAAAGAGGAAATGTCTAGTAGAGAAGTCCTCGCAGAACCAGCGTGTGTATTTCTCTTATTGCACAATGAATCATATTTTAATCACAGAGTAAATAAGTTGTTCATCTGGAGAAGCCACAAAAACCAGTATATGAAAATAAGATACTTGTCCTAAGTTAAGTCATTATGTGAGTAAGTCTGATATTTAACCCTTCTTGTCAGGATATCGGAGCTCTGTTCACTGGAATGTTTCGGAAATCTCCCAAAGAGAGGCCTGCTTCTCCTACTCTGAAGGTCAAATCGACTCTTCTGCTCATTCTTTGAGTCATACATTTTAACTTAGACTTTCCCACTGAGTCTTACTTTTCTTTTTCTTCTCATGGCCAGGTCAGCAAAACAGACAGTGATGCTGAAGATGCAGAGGAAGGCGAGGAGAAAAGCTCTGAACAATCCAATGTAGGGCATTATTTTAGTGGCCTGACAGGGTCACAGGGTTCACAGGGTCTTCTTTAGATACATAGAAAATATGTCTGTGTATCTCACAAACAAATTCAGACCTGTTTTTGAGGACTAATGTGTTTATTTAGGAGCTTAATTTGTTCAGAAATCTAGAGGTAGGGTTGTTGTATGTCCTTTGTTGTGTATCTATATTTGTTTGTTTTTTTACATGCAAATGTTTCAAAAGAATAAAAATAGGGTGTTCTGTCATCTTATCTTCTTACAGGAAAAGGGGAGCTTCTTCTCTGCCATCCTTAAAAAACCTGCCAAATCAACAGATGATAAAGTGAGTAACAGATGACGTTCAAAACTTCATGTTCATGTCTTATCTGGTTCTTGATTTTTCTGCATCTTTTCACTTGGTTTTTAACATTTCGTTTTGGTGTTTCAGGAGCGTCTGAGTGCTCAGAGTGAGCTGTCGGCCAGCAATGACAGTCTGTCCGAAAACAAGGTACACAGCTTCTCTCACATCAGGCTTTATCATCCTTCAGTGTTTCCCATTAATTAACTAGACTGTGGCCCGCCATAGTCTAATCTGTCGCGCCATACTCTAATTTGCCATGCTAGCGTAAAGGAATTATTATCAACTATAATATATATATATTTTGTAAGTACATTTGAAGTACAGTTTACCTCGTTAAATGTGATGTGTGGCTGGAGTAGCCTATACAGGAATGTGTGATTGTTTTTATGTCCGTTTCCTAAAACGGTCCGTACCTTGTTTACCTCCTGCAGAGTGTTACAACTCACAGCCGCTCGGAGCTTTTCAATCGCTGTGCAGGTTTCGGAGTTTTTAAACACAATCAAAGACGTTTGATCACCCTGTCAGACAAAGCAGACCAAGATATCGAAATTCTAGCTGTATATTCTTTTTGAACCCGCAAAACAAATGAAAGAGCGGAACAAATCCATTTCGCCTGAAGTTTACTTAAAAGTCTAAACATTAGATCAGACCTTTTTTCAAGAGGTTCTCTTCCTCATTATGTCAAAAACGTGCATTTAAAGACGAAGGTGGGTCTGCGGACCACACTTGAGAAGCAGAGAGAGAGAGAGAGAGAGAGAGAGCGCTATACGGGCGAGCAAGATTCCGGGAACGTGCCATTGCGCATGTCAGTGGACGGACAAGAAACAAAAAGTTAAATTGATCATTACTCTACAGTTTACATGTTTACCAGTCAAGTATGTGAACTAAATGGCTGACTGCAGTAAACAGAATGATGGCGTCCAAACTGCTCAATGTGCGCTGATTGGTCCTCGGTCTGTGCGTCTGCACGTCACCCTCCCTGCTTATTAAAAACTATAAAAATCACATCTGAACGTTTTGATTTTGAAATGTTCTTAAATTGTTTGAGCTGCTGTTAATACTCTAAATATTTATAATACTGAACATTATAATTGATTTATAAAATATGCTTTTGCGCAGCACATTGTATGATGTCATCAAATAGAAGCATGTTGTGGAGATGTGATCCAAATTTGGACACGATGCTGGAAAGGAGCGATAATCATAACTGAAAGAGGAGTAGGAACAGTATGCCTGCTTGAGGGTCTCTATGGGCCAAGCCTAAAGCCATTTAACTTCCATTGGCATTGGATTTTATGTTTTGACAATTTATGCGCTAAAAGAGCAAACAATTGTTCGAAGAAGTACAAAGTTTTTGATACATTTAACCTCTTAATTTTGCACAAAATTGATGCATCTAACTTTAAAATGTACAAATTCTTTCTCCCGGGGGTGCATGCCCCCAGACCCCCCTAGAGGGTTTAGTGTCCCCCCACCATAGTCTCATGAAATCCTGTGGGAAACACTGTCCTTCATAACAGTTTAAACACAAACATGTTGACAGTTCTGTGAAAAAGGCCTGACGTCAAGCAAAAAATAAACGGCTGAGCACAGGCATACTTTTGTTTCAGGAGAAAGGAGGAATATTCAGCGGGATGTTTAAGAAGAAACCATCAGAAGCTGCTCCAACTGAAGAGGTAACATACCTGTAAACACCTCAAACGTGTACGCTTTATGTGTTCAACTTATGTTCACCATTTTTTTATATGTTTTGAAACAAAGCCTTAAAAATGTGTTATAGTCTGTTTAATCCATTCTGCTTGTTGATCACAATTAACCATTATTTTGTTTTTCAGGACCGAAAGTCTCTACATGATGATCTGTCAGGCAGTAGCGATAATCTGTCTGAGAACTCCAAGGTGAGCTCAGAGCTACATCAGGATTTCAACACTCATGTTGTGAACGAAGAACAAGTATTATAATTCTTTGTGTGACTTTATCCACACAAACTTTACCTGATGAGTAACCTCCACACATCATTATCAGTCTCAATGTTAGAAATAAACTTGATGACTTTAATCCAGAACAATTTAGATTCCCAGTTTTTAAGAGTCCAAAAATACAAAAAGTCCTTCTCACTCTGAACCAATCCGGATGTTTGAATTTTGACTCTTGATCCTCTTTATTTCTTGATTTTTTGATTGTGTTCACTCGAAAGAATAAAAACAAAATTGTGTTTCAGGAGAAAAAAGGAGGCCTGGGTGGCATCTTCAAAAGATCAGCCAGCATTGACAACCTGTTTGACGAGGTCAGTGTCGACTCTGTACACGCTCACAGAAACTTGCTTCCCACAGTGCAACAGTTTGAGATGCATGATGTCATCATGTGATGATGATGCTACTTTGACAAACCCAGGTGTAACATACACACTGATTATATGGTCTGTTCTTCTAGACACTATGAATAGATTTCGGAGTATTAGGGCCACGTTAAGGCCGTGTTATTCTCATAAATGTACGACTTTAATCTCTTAGTCTTTGATTTTTCCCCTTGATGTGGCCCTCATACTCCTTTATCAAGGTCACAGTCAGTCTGAGATAAAAAAAAAAAAGCTGTGTTTAATTTTTTCTTCTCCAAGCTGTTTGTACAAAGGTAAAAAAAAAAAATCCTTGATCATGATTTTGTGCTGAAGTTTGTTGACTCTTCTTTTAGACCAGCAGAGACCGAATCCGGATCAAAGTGGGGCGGAGGGCCGATCAGAGAAGGACGAGCCTGCGGAGAAAAACAAGCAGGAAAAGAGTTCAGAACCAAAACAGGTATACGAGAATGACGGTGACATTAAAACACTGTCACAGTTATCCACTGCTCTGGTCGTGTTAATAAACCACTTCTGCTTTTGACAAACACTACATTACTGATGTGTTACATTAGTGACTGAGGACAACAAAGAAGAAATGTCTCTGTCTCTAAATATAAAGTAGAGAAGTCCTCACAGAACCAGCGTGTGTATTTCTCTTATTGCTCGATTAATCATATTTTAATCACAGAGTAAATAACTCTATAAAAATAAGTTGTTCATCTGGGGAAGCCACAAAAACCAGTATATGAAAATAAGATACTTGTCCTAAGTTAAGTCATTATGTGAGTAACTCTGATATTTAACCCTTCTTGTCAGGATATCGGAGCTCTAATCACTGGAATGTTTCGGAAATCTCCCAAAGAGAGGCCTGCTTCTCCTACTCTGAAGGTCAAATCGACTCTTCTGCTCATTCTTTGAGTCATACATTTTAACTTAGACTTTCCCACTGAGTCTTACTTTTCTTTTTCTTCTCATGGCCAGGTCAGCAAAGCAGACAGTGATGCTGAAGATGCAGAGGAAGACGAGGAGAAAAGCTCTGAACAATCAAATGTAGGGCTTGTTTTAGTGGCCTGACAGGGTCACAGGGTTCACAGGGTCTTCTTTAGATACATAGAAAATATGTCTGTGTATCTCACAAACAAATTCAGACCTGTTTTTGAGGACTAATGTGTTTATTTAGGATTTAATTTGTTCAGAAATCTAGAGGTAGGGTTGTTGTATGTCCTTTGTTGTGTATCTATATATATATTTTTTTTTTCATGCAAATGTTTCAAAAGAATAAAAATAGGGTGTTCTGTCATCTTATCTTCTTACAGGAAAAGGGCAGCTTCTTCTCTGCCATCCTTAAAAAACCTGCCAAATCAACAGATGATAAAGTGAGTAACAGATGATGTTCAAAACTTCATGTTCATGTCTTATCTGGTTCTTGATTTTTCTGCATCTTTTCACTTGGTTTTTAACATTTCATTTTGGTGTTTCAGGAGCGTCTGAGTGCTCAGAGTGAGCTGTCGGCCAGCAATGACAGTCTGTCTGAAAACAAGGTACACAGCTTCTCTCACATCAGGCTTCATCAGCCTTCATAACCGTTTAAACACAAACATATTGACAGTCCTGTGAAAAAGGCCTGACGTCAAGCAAAAAATAAGCGGCTGAGCACAGGCGTACTTTTGTTTCAGGACAAAGGAGGAATATTCAGTGGGATGTTTAAGAAGAAACCATCAGAAGCTGCTCCAGCTGAAGAGGTAACATACCTGTAAACACCTCAATGGTGTACGCTTTGTGTTCAACTTCAATCAATCAATCAATTTTTATTCGTATAGCGTCAACTCAAAACAAGTGTTATCTCGAGACACTTTACAAAAAGCAGGTTGTTCTGGCAGGCCGTCAACTGGTAGGCCGTCAACCAATGATTTCGAGGAGCTAAGAGAGCTCAAGAGCTCTCAGTAAAGTAGGTGGTTAGTGACTGAGATTTACAGATAGATACATGCAGTAATATGATGTACTGTATATGCACACAGAGAGAGAGAGAGAGAGAGAGAGAGAGAGCTCAAGGTGCCAGTTCCCCCGGTAGTCTAAGCCTATAGCAGCAAAACTAAGAGCTGGTCTACACCAGCACCAGCCCTAACTATAAGATTTATCAAAAAGGAAAGTTTTAAGTCTATTCTTAAAAATACAGACTGTGTCTGGCTCCCGGACCCCGGCTGGAAGACGATTCCAGAGGAGAGGAGCCCGATAACTGAAGGCTTTACCTCCCATAGTACACTTTGAGACTGTAGGTACCACTAGTAGGCCTGCATTCTGGGACCGTAATGTTCTCGAGGGGCAGTACGGCACTAGTAGCTCCTTCAGGTAAGATGGTGCCTGGCCATTTAGAGCTTTGTACGTGAGAAGAAGGATCTTGAATTATATTCTAGACTGTATAGGGAGCCAGTGCAGAGAAGCCAACACAGGAGTAATGTGGTCCCTTTTCCTGGTTCTGGTCAGTACACGAGCTGCAGCGTTCTGGACTAGTTGAAGAGTCTTTAGAGACTTACCAGAGCACCCTGACAAAAAAGAATTACAATAATCCAATCTGGAGGTAACAAATGCATGAACTAGTTTTTCTGCATCATTTTGCGACAGGATATTCCTGATCTTTGATATATTACGAAGGTGAAAATAGGCTGTTCTTGAAATGTGCCTGATGTGAGAGCTAAAGGACATATCTTGATCAAACAGAACTCCTAGATTCCTGACAGTGGTGCTAGATGCCAGGCTGATGTCACTAAGGACAGTCAAATCACTAGAAAAAGTCTATCTGAGGTTTTTAGGGCCTAGCACAATAATTTCACTCTTGTCTGAGTTAAGTAGCAAAAAAATTCTGGTCATCCAGGTCCTAACGTCCTTATGGCACGTTTCTAGCTTACATAACTGACTGGTGCCATCGGGCTTCATTGATACATAAAGCTGAGTATCATCTGCATAACAATGAAACTGTATGGAGTGTTTCCTCATAATATTTCCCAGAGGAAGCATATATAATGTAAAGAGAATTGGTCCAAGCACTGAACCTTGTGGCACTCCATGGCTAACTTTGGTGTGCATAGAGGACTTATCATTAACATGTACAAACTGAGATCGGTCTGATAAGTAGGATTCAAACCAACTTAAAGCAGTCCCTGTAATTCCAAGTAAATGTTCTAGTCTGTATATTAGGATCTGATGGTCAATGGTGTCAAAAGCGGCACTAAGATCTAACAAGACGAGCACAGAGAGAAGTCCCCTATCTGAGGCTAGAAGTAGATCGTTTGTAACTTTAACTAGTGCAGTCTCAGTGCTATGGTGGACTCTAAATCCTGACTGAAACTCCTCAAATAAACTGTTGTCATGGAGAAAATCACACAGCTGATTAGCTACCACTTTCTCCAGGATCTTTGAGATAAAAGGAAGGTTGGATATCGGCCTATAGTTAGCCAGAGTTCCTGAATCTAGAGTAGGTTTTTTGAGTAGAGGTTTGATTACCGCTACTTTAAATGACTGTGGTACATATTGCCAGTAAAGACATATTGATCATATCTAATATAGAGTTGCTAACTAAGGGAAAGACTTCCTTAAACAGCTTGGTTGGGATTGGGTCTAAAAGACAGGCTGACAGTTTCGAGGCAGAAATAATTGAATTTAGCTCTGAAAGGTTGATTGGAGAAAAACAGTCTAGACTAATATCTGGTCCTGGAACTGTCTCTGCCGTATCAGACGTATCTGCACCAGGTAAGGGCAGGAGGTTACCAATTTTGTCTCTGATGTCTTGAATTTTGTTGTTGAAAAAGCTCCGGAAATCATTACTGCTGAGGGCTAAAGGAATACAAGGCTCAATGGAGCTATGACTCTCTGTCAGCCCGGCTACAGTGCTGAAATGGTATCTAGGATTGCTTTTGTTTTCCTCGATTAGAGAGGAGTAGTAGGCAGCTCGAGCGTGACGTAGAGCCTTCATATATTTTCTATGCCAGAATAAACGAGATTCTACCGTTTTGGTCGCGCGCCATATTCTTTCAAAATTTTGTGACGATTGTTTTAGAGTACGGGTTTCTGAGTTGAACCATGGAGCTATTCTCTGCCGTTTGATAACCTTCTGTTTTAGGGGAGCAATCGCATCAAGAGTAACTCTCAGCGAATCCACTGCACTATCAACAAACTGATCTAGCTGGCTGAGAGGAACTAAAGCTATCATAAGAATTTCCAACTGGGTTGAAACACGGTACTGAATCAAAAGCAGCTGAAATAGCTTCCTTAAATCAAGCCACAGCACTATCAGATAAACTTCTAGAGAGCACATTTTTATTAAGCAGAGATAATTTTGGTAGGACAAAGTCGAAAGTAATAAGGAAATGGTCTGATAGAAGAGGATGTTCTAGGAAAACTGTAAGGTTTTGGATTTCAATGCCATAAGCTAAAACAAGATCCAGGGTGTGGTTAAAACTATGAGTAGGTTTGTTTACACCCTGGGTGAAACCAATAGAGTCTAATAATGACATGAAAGCTGTGCTAAGGCTATCTTTATCAACATCCACATGGACATTGAAGTCACCTACAACAATTATTCTATCACTGTTAAGGACTACATTTGATAAAAGTTCTGCAAATTCAGATAGAAATTCAGACTATGGGCCAGGAGGGCGGTAAACTACAACAACTAGAACTGGCTGAAAGGTTCTTGAGACTGGATGTGAAAGACTAAGAACGAGGCTTTCAAAAGAAGAAAAATTCAGCTTTGGTCGAGGGTTAACTAGAAGAATTAAAAATAGCTGCTACTCCACCACCTCGTCCGGTGTCTCGAGGTATACACTTATGTTCACCATTTTATTTTATATGTTTTGAAACAAAGCCTTAAAAATGTGTTATGTCTGTTTAATCCATTCTGCTTGTTGATCACAATTAACCATTATTTTGTTTTTCAGGACCGAAAGTCTCTACATGATGATCTGTCAGGCAGTAGCGATAATCTGTCTGAGAACTCCAAGGTGAGCTCAGAGCTACATCAGGATTTCAACACTCACAAGTATTATAATTCTTTGTGTGACTTTATCCACACAAACTTTACCTGATGAGTAACCTCCACACATCATTATCAGTCTCAATGTTAGAAATAAACTTGATGACTTTAATCCAGAACAATTTAGATTCCCAGTTTTTAAGAGTCCAAAAATACAAAAAGTCCTTCTCACTCTGAACCAATCCGGATGTTTGACTTTTGACTCTTGATCCTCTTTATTTTTTGATTTTTTTGATTGTGGTTACTCGAAAGAATAAAAACAAAATTGTGTTTCAGGAGAAAAAAGGAGGCCTGGGTGGCATCTTCAAAAGATCAGCCAGCATTGACAACCTGTTTGACGAGGTCAGTGTCGACTCTGTACACGCTCACAGAAACTTGCTTCCCACAGTGCAACAGTTTGAGACGCATGATGTCATCATGTGATGATGATGCTACTTTGACAAACCCAGGTGTAACATACACACTGATTATATAAATAGATTTCTGTTTACTTAAATTAACCCAATGCCTGCATGAAATGAAAGAATAAGAAGACTATAAACTATAGGACAAAGTCTGCAATCATGTTTTATTTTCATGTTTATTTGTATAGGGCTGTATGAAGCAAGTAGCCACACACTACAGCATTTATAGCCTAAGCTAATTTGTAATGCCCGTCCAATAGATGGGCCTTTAAAATACATAAAACTCAACAACAGATACAAATAAAACAGAACCAAAGAAGCATGACAATCAAAAAGACTGAACAGTACAGGATACAAACTATTATACAATGAAACAAAGTAAGAGCAAGATCAGACATGACCACAGGAGTCCTCTTTAAGAACTGTTTCACTTTAAAATGACTCCAGTCTAGTTCCAGTTCGAGCTCTGCAGGTAAAGCACTCCACATATTGATCCCCTTTAAGTATTAGGGTCAATTCCGACCCCTCAGGCCTGCTTTGTGCTTTGGCAAACTAAGTGAGAGATTATTGTTTACAAAATGTTCTGAATGTAACTGTATTCATTACTGTATTCCACAAGTCTGGTGTAACTCTTTATCTCTTACTTATAACTCCATTTGTTTTTTCACACAACAGGAGAAGGGCGGGCTGTTTAGCGGACTTCGCAAGAAAACACCCAAAGCGTCTGGAGACGATGCAGCAGCAGAGGTGAGTGACTCTGTTAGCATCACTGTCTGTTATCCCTGTTACCGTCTTCATCTATTTGTGTTATCTATCTTTTTTTTTCTTTTTTTTTTTAGGATGAGCAGAAGGAGCTGACAGCGAGTACGGACAGTCTGTCTGAAAACGGAAAAACAAAGGTGCCTTTATATATAGATAGGACAGAGATAGAGAGAGAGACTTCCTTTTTTTAAAGGAGGATTTACATGTTGACAAAATGTGTTAGGGTTAGGCTTACAAGTACGTATCATAAGTGAGGACAGAAAGTTGAAAAAAAAAATAATTTTATTTGCATCTAGTTGCCCTCAAACTGCATGCCATGCCTGCATAACTCAGTGCCCCAGGTGGTCTGGACCAATCTGGACACACTCCTGGCCTGTGTACATGGGGCACTTGACTAACCACCAGGCTACCAGTGCCCCGAAATGTTGTTTTAGCTGTATTGAAAATGGATCAAATCAGTTCACTATATAACATGTCTTTGATTCAGCCAGTTCATTTTCTAGCTAGTGTGACTGTTAACTCTGACACATTACAGGTACTGTTGATGTATTTCTTGCTGCTTCTCACACAGGTTATGTCTGTGTTTGATTTCTGTTCTCAGGAGAAAAGTATTTTCAGCGGCATGTTTAAGAAAACTCCAAAAGCAGCAGCAGAGGGGAATACAACAGATGATGTAAAGTAAAACCTTCAGAGATAAAGTTTATAGCTCGTCTGTGTGTCAGTATTGTTAATGTATTAGTTTTCTGATGTTTGTCTTCAGGAGTTAGACCCAGCCGAGGACAACAGGTTATCTGCCAGCTGTGAAAATCTGTTAGAAGCATCAACATCAAAGGTACAAATGTTCTCTGATCATCTTAGCTTCAGCCTGTTTGACGACGTTTAAGTCTTGATTACTGATAACTTATTTATGTGAATGATTCAGGAAAAGTCTGGAGGACTGGGAGGGATCTTCAGAAGGTCTCCAAAACCATCTCCAAAACCATCTCCTCGCTCCATCACTTCTAAGGTATTCCAATGAACTCTGGTTTCGTTTTGAGTGATGCGCACATTGACTGAATTTGGGGTGTTCTGTGTAATCTCATATTTACATGTTTTTAGCTAACTATATATGAGGCAACTCCTGCAAGCTAGTTCAACTCAAGCAGCACTGATTTCACACTCGACATGCCTCATTCTCAACAATCACTTGACAACACCTCCTTCCAATTAGCTCTCTATTAAGCTGCAAGATTCCCCGTCTCTCCCTCTGCTCTTACATCAGCTCTGACCTGCAGCTGTACTGCACTCTAGCTCAGCATCCACCTGCAGGCTCCGACTGGGAGTGTTTAAAATATCATCCCATCACTCCTCAAATATCTGCATGTAAATGAAAACTGTGAGGAGTGATTAAGCCAGAGCCTAAGCGCCAAACAAAAACTGTTCTGCTGGAAAAAATATTTTAAACGATAAAAACATGAGTCGTCTTACTGAAATGTTTCTATATTAAAACTTAACTATGAACAAAATGTTTTTTTTTGTTTTCCAGGATCCTCTCACAGCCAGCTGCGACAGCCTCACAGACGCAGCAGAGGTGAGCGCTAATCTCAACCTTAACAACTTATTCAGCATTTTAAAACGAATGGGAAGAGAGCCGGTGCACTTTGAGTGGTGTTAGGCTCTTTATTTTTGGCTTGCTTATCGTGCTTGTGGAAACATTGTGGATTACCACCATCGGAAAAAAACAGGTTGAAAGTAAAAAAACACAAAATCTTCATCAATAATAATGTTTGACATGGGAAGGATCATGAAGCCTTTGACCATCAGTGAAGGGAGCCTCCCTTTATCTCACTTTGCTGCCTGCAGACATTAAAATTACGTTATTTTGTGCTAAATGTTGCTAAGTGCTACGCTCATGATGGACAAATGTTTGGTCTTTGCAATATAACAGAGTAATATCTCTTACCCGCTCTTTTTGTAAAGTGTCTCGAGATAACATCTGTTATGAATTGGCGTTATACAAATAAAGATTTAATGATACACAAACATTATTTTACAGCTTATTTAGCATCAAACCTCTAAGTACAAATAAGTCACACCGTGTTGAACTTCTTTCCCAACAATCTCACACAAAAAGTTTCAGAAACAAAACACAACATAATGTTTTCGTTTGTTGTCTCTCTATGTGATAGGGGGATCTCGATGAACTGACAGCAAGTAACGATAATCTATCTGACACCACAGGAACATCTAAAGTGAGCCCTGCAGTCTATTTTTCATACTGAATTTATCAGCGTATTTTCAATTTGTTTGCTTGTTATTTGAATAAACGTTTGTTTCTGATTTTTATTTTCAGGAGAGAAAAGGAGGCTTTGCTGGGAGGTTCAGAAGGAACAAACCCCTGGAACATCAGGTATGATATATAAGAGGCAGCGGGATGCGTTACATTTAGGCGCTCGCCTTTGCAAACCAGGCTTTCCTGCCATCACTCGATCGGGCCTGTCAGCACACGTTTGACTTTTACAGTTTGACTTAGAATATATGTAGAAGTTACCCAGAGGGATGTAGTTTAATGGTAGATTCACTTCCTATCTGTGCTTTCAGGTTTGGCAATGAAGCAGCTGAAGATTATCTAAATATATAAACAGTTCTGATATTCATCAGTTTGTCTTATTTGGGTTTTCTTGCTTGAATGTGGAAGGATTTTTGAATAACTATGTCGGTGAATAGATGCAGTTAAGCTCATACACCTGCTGTGTGCCATCATTTCTGCTCTCTGTCTTTCTCTTCATGTGCAGGAAAGTGAGGACTTGGAGGCACCAGCGGAAGGCGGGCTGAGACGCAGGAGAACCATCAAGAAAAAGAGACGAGTGAGTTGTTGTTCAATAAAAACCCTGAAGGAGCTGGAGCCAGAACCAAAAGTGAATTTAAACATATTTATCACCAGGAGGTCCATGCAGGTGACCGCATTCTGTATTGGTACATGTCTCAGATGGTACTCAGGTGTAAAGTGAAAGGAGCTGATGGAAGAATATTTCTCGTCTGCTTTTCTGGGTTGAGCTCTGACATCAGATGTTGAAGTTCATTTATTTATTTTCTTTTTTTAAGGTTTATTTTTAGGTTTTTATTGCCTTTATTTATTTAGAGACAGGACAGTGAATAGAGAGATAGACATGCAGGAAAGGACCCACAGGTCGGATTCAAACCCTGGCCGCCCACTTAACGGTCTACAGCCTCCGTACATGGGGATGTACTCACTGATTCTCATAGATTAACTTGTTTTTTAATCTTTATCTTTTTTTTCTCAGGTTACATCATTCAGAATCAAGAAAACTTCCAAAGTACCCAACCTTGGTACACAGGTACGAACTCTTCAGATTTGAAACTCGATGATGATTCAGATATTTTCACATTTTCACTTTTTTATTCTTGCCTGATTTATTCAAACGCCTTGAGGATCTGTTAACGAAGGTTATTAAACAGGTACAAATGATCTAAAAATAATTATCCTGTTATGCCTCGGATCGAGAGTACGGACCCAAAAGCATGACTCAGGACACAGAGGCACAATCCAAACAGTCTTTAATGTGCGACAACAAAAAAACACAATGCCAGAAGGGCATTGGCAGCCACGAGTAGGCAGGCAGGCCAGAGAACGAAACACTGAGACAGCGAGACACTGAGGCAGAGGTTAGCAACGAGCAACACATGAGAGTAGGGGTGCGTTCGAATTGTCCCTCCTATCTCCTTTCACTATCCACTTCACCTTAACCCCGGAAGCAGTTAAGTGGCGGCCATGATAAGAGCCGTTCAAATTCTCTAAAAGTTAAGGAAAGGTGGGTCAATGCTTCCTTTATAACCTCCTTTAGCAGAGGATACACTGGACCATCCTTTAGGAAAGGAGATGAGCGAGTCGCGCATCCGACCGTTCACCAACATTAACGATGACCGTAAAGGGGCTCAGATGATGTTTTATTCAACGTATTGCATTCAATGTGCAGTTGTACATTTGTATGCTTAAAACATTATGTGTCGGTTATATCTTACATAAATGTAATAATTAATTTCATATTTATGTTGATGTTGATTTCTGAGTGGACAGGAAGCTGATGGTTTCATTTTTCTTAATTGTAGCCTGGTAGTCTATATTTCTTTTATTTCAATCCCAACCTCGTGGTAATCAGGATTATTTCACCGGTAAGAAGGCACAGAAAGAGTTTTCTAGATGCGTTTTTGTAGTCCATTTTCGGAACAGTGTAGTTTCAACACGGCAGACTCACGTCATTAACCTCCGCCGGCCCGTCACATTTAATGACGTGGCCTAGTGGAAAAATGTGGTGGGATTGTCAGAGCAACGAGATCGCCTTTCCCTAAGTCCTTTATGAATTCTCCTAACATCTTTCCTTAACCTCATGACGTTTTCGTGGGGTTAAGGTGAAGAGGATAGTGAAAGGAGATAGGAGGGACAATTCGAACGCACCCTAGTTCACACAGAACTATAATCAGGGATGTGAGCCAAAAACGAGGTTAACACCACAGAGAGATATTGTATACTCAGGCGACGAGTGGTGAAAGGACCGGAGTAGATAAACTGCTGAAGAATGAGGTTGATTGTCTGCACCTAGGGGGGGAAAACCACGCCCACCTGCACTCACACACACAACCATGCACACCTGACCCACAGGGGAGGAGAAACAGAGGGTTGAGACAGACAGAGGAAAACTAACAACAAGCATGAGGAAGGGAGGGGCTGCTAAGGGTGAACCATAACACCATAACACATCCTCTTTATTCACTTTTCATTTGCTGATTTTAAGGTTTAATTATTGATGTGTGATGGAAGTTGATCATTCTGCTACATTTCCTCCTCAGAGTTCAGACAAGATGCCTGCTATCGAGGAGATAGTGGAGATGCAGGACCTGAACTCAGCACAGGTTAGTATGACGAAGGTTTTAAAGTAGAAATGCAGCAGGTAAAAAATATCTGTATTCAAGCAGCAGTGAAATCAACCCAAAAGCAAAAGTCCCTCGTTGGTTCACACGTTGGTTTCAACTACCTGTAAATAACCTTTACTGTTCTGTTCATCAAATTGCATCTAGACAAATAAAACGTTGACGTGCATGAGGAAATAAATCAATAATAATACAAAATAATGTATTTGTATGTAAAAAACAGCTGCAGCAGGAAGATCAACTCATTTAACTTTATAAACAATGAAGTTAATCGAGTTGATCCTCATGCTCCATGTGCCTTCTGACCTCTACGGGACTTTCACTCTCCGTGCACTCTGGTGGTTGTGTCAGAAACCCTGACTCATTTCAAACAAGGAACACAATGTTACTTTGAAAAACACATTCACAGTGAATGACAAGCAGACCACGTCAAAGAGCCTTAGAAAGGAATAAGAACTGTATCATTGAAAAGCTAAAAACAAGAAAAACTAATAATAAACACCAGAGCTGTTTCACGGACACATGAGAGAGAGAGAGAGAGGGGTTTCAAGCAAAAGGCAATTCATCCTGAGACAAAATATTAGAAGAACATTTGAAGGAACGTTTAGCTCTTCAAATCATCCTGTAAAGAATGGAAAATATCAGAAAGATATTAGACTTTAGTATCATGTTTATCACATAATTGATTATTGTCTCCGGTGAGAACGTGCAAATGAAATCACTCCTGCAGCCCGTGTAAGACAGCAGGTCCTGTGTCCTGTAATGTAGTCACAAGATAACATGCTTTGAGGAGCAGCAGGACAAACTGGTGTACAGCATCATTAAGATGTCTCACGTTGTGTGATAGTGATTAAAGTCATTCACTTTATTTCAAGTCTCTGTTTTTCCTCTGATGATATCACGCAGATGTTGGTTTTGACAGTAGTAACAGATAGCATTTGTTTAAGCTGAAAAATGTCTCCTTTTGTCACAAATGTCATGTTCATGTTTGTTATGTGTGTGTGTGTGTGTGTGTGTGTGTGTTCCAGGAGAGCTCAGTAGAAGTCCAGCCTGTAGAGATGGCCGCTTACCCCACTGAAGCCAACCCTCTAGTTACCGAGGTGAGCTATTTACAGTAAGGCTTTTAAATGAGTATAGACAACAATATAAGACTGCTTCCTGGAAAATGTATGATCAGCTGAAGTATTCATGAGTAATAAAAGTATTTCAATCACTGCAAACATCACCTGCTGCTATCAAGAAAATCCACCAATTGATTCCCGCGCTGCCTTATAGATAAATGTTTTAGGTCTTGATACTTTAAGTTGTCTTGCACTGACAAAAGTATCTTTTCCCAGGAGCAAGACGAGCTGATTGAATGGTGGAACACAGTCAAAGGTGAGTGTGTTAGCAATCATTTTGTTTGAGTATTAACTTATCACTTATTACAGACACAGGATTCCTTCATTACAAAGGTCATACATTGGATAACAGAGATTAGCTCTAAAAACTAGGAACAAAATACTTTCTCACGCGTGTCCTTGACTCACTAATGTAAATGGTTTCTGCTGCTTGTTTCCAGGTTGGGTAGAGTGGAACGAAACATCCGATTTCCAGGGGGAGGATGGGGAAGCGTGAGTATAGTTTCTTGATTTTTTTATTTTTATTTATTTTTTAAATACTTTTTATTTGATAGTTTTGAAGAAAAATAACAAACTGTCAGAATGAGCATAGATCTACAGATAAGTGCATCATCTATACAGGCATGGATAAATATTTCTGTTAGCTCATTCTACGACAGAAGAGAAGAGTGAGCAAAAAGGAAGGGAAAAATTAAAATAAAAGAGCAAAAGAACAACAGAGTATATTAACTTATCAAAAAGATAAGTTGGATTGTTCTACTCTAATAGAATTTAATATATATATTTTTGTCTATGTGTTCTTAACCTTCTGCTTGTGGCTTAAGTTCAGTGCTCAAGTATACGCAAAACTTTGCTCTTTGTTGATCTTCGTTTCGCCCCTATATTAAATCTGTGTCTGTTAACTTCTTCCATCGTGACTCAAAGACGTCACCTAGATTCCTTATCCTATGTGTAATTCTCTCCATATTATAAACATCCTTAATTGTTTCTTTCCATTTCATTATTATCATTATTAAGCCAGTTTTTAGTTATCTGTTTGATCGCCGTTATTCTTAAAATTCTATAGAGGTATTTAGTTTCTTGATTTTCTATGACTTTTCTTTTATACTTGTGTGCAGTGTGCAATAAAATGTGGCACACTGATAATATGTGTTTTAGTGTAGAGTTATTGGTATTCTTGTTATATTCTGATGGGGAAAAAAAGCAATACATTAAAAATATGTTGTTATAATCAGGACATAGAAATCCATAAATTGAAGTTGGTGACCCCTTTTGTCCAGAGTTTAACTTTGGGTTCCACACGATACAACAACATATTGTAAGAGCCTGTGTTTTGCTGCATCTGCCTGCAGCCCGAACCCGGGACAGCCATGAGCACCTCACTGCGGTGAGTTTCTTTGACTCACGGCTCACCTCTGTCTCTGCAGGGCGATGGAGCAGGCAGCTGACCGTGTCTACATGGCGGCCCGTCTGTTCGTGCGTCTTTTCAACCAGCGGGGGGCGTCCTTGCAGCATCGCATCCTGGAGCTTTTGGCTCTGGCCGACGCTGCGGATCTATTCCACAAGAAAACCGTGTCGGTCGCCGTGGGCGGAGGCGTGGCTAGCGTTTGCGGGAGCGTGGCTACGATCACGGGGCTCATCCTGGCACCGTTCACTTTTGGAGCCTCTATCATTGTCACGGCGGTGGGGATCGGGGTAGCTACGGCAGGCAGCATCACCTCGGCCTCGGCAAACATCACAGACACGGTTCACTCTAACATGGACCGCAAGAAGCTGGAGAAGATGATCCAGGACTACCAGGAGGAAATCAAAGACATCAGGGAGGTCATGGAGTTTGTACAGGTGAGGAACTATGATTCTCTTTTTGTAGATTGTAGATGTCATTTTTAGCCACAGTTTTGTTTTTAAAATAAATGTTTGCTCTAAACTTCCAGCAAAAGACTAAAATAAAGCCAGAAAGTAATATCTTAGTCCAGCCTTCAAACAGCAACTCTTCTTGTTTTTTGTCTCTTGTAGACTGGTATGGACACCCTGCAGGAGTGGGACTTTGAGAAGTACTCAGAGAGCGCTGCCAAAAAAGCAATGAACCACAATCTAAAGCATGTGATGAAGGAGGGTGGCCGTGCAGGAAAAGCTCTTATGATCAACACTGATAAGCTCATCAGCACGGTGCAGGTTTTAGGCGCCGCAGGCGGTGCTGCCAAAGCCGCCCAGGCCATCAGCGTCACCACAGGGGTCATGTCCGCTCTTTTCCTGGCTCTGGATGTTTTCTTCCTGGCCAAAGACTCCCACGACCTGCGCAAAGGAGCCAAAACTAAGTTTGCTAAAAAGATCAGGGACGTGTGTACAGAACTTCAGGACGGCTTGCTGGCGCTGAACAAAGTGAAGACGCAGCTGCAGAAGACCATGGAAGGCATCGAGGTGGAGGAGTATGAGGATTTTGAGGAGGTGGAGGTAGAGGTCGACGATGACTTTGAGTCAGATCCAAAAAAGCTGGCTGAGCTGGAGAAGGAGCTGGACCTCCTGGAGGAGAAACTGGACAAGAAGGCTGAGGAGGAGCAGAAGAGGAAGAAGGAGGAGGAGGAGCTGAAGAGGAAGAAGGAGGAGGAGGAGCTGAAGAAGAAGAAGGAGGAGGAGGAGCTGAAGAGGAAGAAGGAGGAGGAGGAGGAGGAGAAGCGCATGAAGGAAAAGGAGAAAGAGGACATTTCTGACAAGGAAGAAGAGCAGGAAAATGAGACTGTTAAAGACGAAGTCTCCAAAGAAGAATCTGAGAAAGGAAAGAAGAAGGACAAAGAAAGTGAGAACTGGATTACAGCAGCCAAAGAAAAACTCGAGAGCAAGCGAGACAAGAAAAAAGAAGACAAACAGAAAGAGAAAAATAAATCTGGAAAAGAGCAGAAGGAAGCTAAGAGCAGGTCAGGTGATTCCCAACAAGAGGATCGGAGTGAAAAAGTGCAATCTGAGAGGGTCATGACGGGAAGAGAGAGTGAGAGGAGCAGGAGCCACAGAGAGGAGGAAAAAGAGATGAAACCTGAATGGAAATCTGTGAATAAAGAGAGAGAGACTGAAGGTGGGAGTACAGCGAGGAGGCGCGGCAGCAGGAGCGACCAAGACAAACCCAACTGGAGAGAGAGCAAACACCAAGCCAAAGAGTCAGATAGCAGCAGCAACAGTGGGCGAGTAAAAGAAAGTGACAGGATGGAGAGCTGGAGGAGGACTGAAGAGGAGAGAGGAGTGAAAGACTGGAGGGCTGAGATGGCAAAAAGAGAGGAGAAGAGCAGGGAAGGAAAAGAATCTAGAAGAGAGGATGAAGGAAAGGGCGACGTGAAGAGAGAGTCGCATCGAAGCCACGAGACCGCGTCGTCGAGGAGGGAGCACTCGGAGAGAGAGTGGGGGAGCAGCAGAGGGTCTGACTCCAAGAGGAGTCACCACAGGAGAGGATCAGACGACCAGAAGGAGAGGGGAGACGAGAAACGAGAGAGCAGGATGGAGAGTGCGAGGAAGAAGTTTGAGAGAGCAGAGGGTGAAAGGGGGGGCGAGGAGAAGGAGGAGGAGGAGGAGGACAGAGTGAAGAGGAGAGAGGACAGGGAGAGGAGAGGGAGTGACAGAGCGCACAGACACAGCCACCGAGGATCTCGATCCCGAGCCAACGCACTGCTGGAAGACGGACTCAACATTTAGTTACATTACAACACTAAGAAGTTAAGATGCATGATAGAGAGCTGCAGAAATATATCAACCAGAATCTTTTTGGTTCCCTCCTCCCAATCAGTGGGTTTTTTGTAAGATACACTTTTGTTCTACAACATCAAATATAAGGTGAATACCCAGATTGTGAATTTTGAAGACGAGGGTTGTGCCAACATCTTCACAACATACACATTTGTTTTGATTAAGGATATTTAACTGGAATTACTGAAATGCGGAGAATTGAAGCAGTAGCTGTAGAAGCTACAAACTGGAGCACTGTGTTCTCTCTGCAAAGCTACGTAGGGGACCAATCACAGCTGATGCAATCCTCACTGCTACAAAAGTAGAGTTTCATGTCTGCATGAAACTGCATGTTGAAGGGAAACGGTCATGGTGTGATTTAAAGCCTGCACTAAAATGTTCCTATGTGAGGATTATTATACTGAACAAATCATTCTAGCATTGTTTTCTTTTTTTTTTTTTTTGAAACAGAGTTTATGTTCTGCAGTTTTATAAAATCTCTTTTTTTTTTTTTCAATTTTTTTTTTCAATTCTCATGTCAAGGTCAAAAAAAGCATCATTTCTGCAGCACTTTACGAGGGAGACCTCATGCAAAAACAGCCAATCAAATCATGCATAGAGCAGGGTCTTTTTCAGAACTACCACTACAAATGTGTATTCAATAGGACCCTTCTTTTAACCCCTGAAAGCTGAAACTGTAAATGATCTTCCAAACACTGTTTTCAGGAAGAGGCTGCTCGTATGCTGTCAGTGCTTTACAATAGAATATATACTGAACTGTTACATGTGTTTGTGAAACATACTTTCTAAATGGTGTCTGTTACTGTAGTAATGCTGGTGTTTCAGGGTCAAACTGGATGGACTGTTAAAATCCATATGGTTTCTTTATTACAGACATAATGGTTGAGTTTTGTTGTTGTGTAGTCAGTGATGCTTTAATATCACTTTAAGAACAACGTTCTTCTTTTGTGTGTGCGCACATGAAGGAGAAAAAGGGAATTTAACCGGTCGTACAAAAACGTTCCAGGAAATGTACCTTGTTCAAACTACCTGTTACAGATAATTTAACACTCTGTGCACTTTAACCGGTAGCTTTCTTACACCATTGCTTTATGTTTCTGGATGACTCTGTCTGTCTGTCTGATATTTTTATACTTTCAGTGTATGTATTTTTATATATTAAGGGTTTTTTTCTATGGTGTTGGTTTCTTATTGAACAAATAAATTATTAGAATAATTGACGTGCTGCTTTGCTTGTTAATTTTATAGTATAAACAGATACTGTCCATTTGTTATGACCATCCGATACAGCCTTTTACATTTAATGATGTTTAGCACACGATGAATTGATGCATTTGCACAGAAAAAGAAAAATGAATCAGATATTTTACTGTTTTAACAGAAATAAATCAACACAAAACAGAGTGTAGTTATTACAAAGATGGCAAAAAAATAAAGTATTGGAAGAAAAAAACAGCTGGGAGAGTAAACAGACGGAGGACATGGAAATCAGTCTTATCCCTTGAGATTGGTTGGTTGATTGATTGGTTTATTGGATGATTGGTTGGTTGATTGATGAATCTTTTTTCCACAGCAGACAATGCATTACATTTTTTTTCAGTAAACAAGCAGAGATCACTACATGCTTGGTCATTTTCATATTAATTATGTTTTCCACATATAATCCCGATAGAAAAAGCTAATGCTCAAGTGAGATCTTTTCTTCTACTCCCTTTCTACTCTGCAAACAAAAACAACAAACTTATTTTATTTGACATATTTTAACTGGCAACTTGATGACATTTCTATCCAAATTTCACCTCCACTAAAACCTAAGCTATAATACATTAAAACAAAACTTCATAAAACTATATAAACACATTCAAAAATGACTTTGAAACTACATATGTGAGACTTTTCTGTGGCACTATGGGTTGTAACAGCTGGTTACCACTTGGGAGTGACAGAGAGCTGAACCAGGAGCGGCCACTCAAAGCACAGATGATGTAAGTCCATGGAAAAAGCTTTCTTTCATTAACAGACAAAAAAATACCACAAGGAATTAAACTTAATTCAGCTGAAGCAAAAGAGGATATCAACATTGTAATCAGAAAAGAAAGGTGCCACTTCTTTTCTTTCTACTTTTAATTATTAAACTATCCTGTAGAAAGTGCTCTTACCTCATTTAAATACACTGATGTGTACGGTGGCCCTGAAGTGCAAAACACGATAAATGTTTATGATAAAACACAAATCAGAAAACTTAATAAGCATATACATGTACTATGTTTAACTTCACGTGTCACATGATGTAATTGTTCTTAGTTCAAATCTGCCGGCCTCAAAACAATTCTTAGGGAAATGTGACTAAACTGGTCTAAACAATTCACCAATGAAAGAATATAACAACAAATACCAGATTTTTTGGATTCTTAAAGGTCAGTGGTAATCTAGCAAAAACAGAGTTTTTCACCATTTTGTTCGAAACAATCAGACACCAACAAAAACACTTTGGTATGTTAACTTTTTGTGATTAATTTCCAAAGTTCCCTTTCGTTTTATTTTTAGAATATCAATACAAAGAACAGTAATGACCTCAATAATTAAATTACTTTGAGTCAAAATACCCCCTAAATTTGTGCTAAAACATTCGTAGAATGTATTTGTAGAACAATAAAATGTTGTTCTTAACTTCAAATAATATTAATAAACGTGCTTAAATACTGAACAGTTTTCTTATGGAACCAAAACCCACAGTGTACCTTAGTACTTAAGTGACTTTCATCAACAAACGTAACTTTTCACAGTAATAATGAATGCTACGCTTAGCAGGGCAATGACAGTATGTGTGCTGTCAGATGGGGCCCGGTTAGGGGGGTTTCCGACTGTTGTTGCAAAATTTGCACATTTTGAGTCCCTTGTGTGATTTAGAGTTTGTCAGCCAAGGGGGTCCCCTGCTTGCCTGGGGCTCCGAGCAGCGCCTCTGTTAGAGCTTTAAAGTCGGGAATGGTTTCTGGATGAATTTGTGTGTGGTGCCCTCTTTCATTTTGATTCAGCTCCTGTCTCCTAAAATGGGTGTGCACAAAATTGAAATTCAGGCCTTCATGTGGTTTCTGACAGGTGTGTGTACCTGGGTGCAACAGTCTATTAATGCCAGTGGGTTGCCACAGTGCACATGGCTCTCATTGCTGCATACTTCTTTGTGAAGGTGAAGAGACACAACCAGCTGAGCCACTCAAACCACCAACTGACGAGTTTCAAATTAAACCACAAAAATCCAAAACTGAAAGTAACAGCAAAAAGCTAAATGTTTAGCAACCAACAACGGCAGGGAGTAGCCTACATGCGCAGCCTAGTTTAAGAATGGGCATAGTTTGTGTGGTCGATACTGCCGTTCTTGTGCCTTTCTGAAAACTTAAATTAATCCAACGTCCATACAATTAAAATTGTCCTAATATAATTAACACCAGCCATGAAGGCTGTTGTCCAGTGTCAGGGCAAAAGGGCAAATAGCCATTTTTTCTTTACTCCAGTGACAGAAAATTAACCCTCTAAGCCTCAACCGTGAAACGTCTGCATACAAGGTGAGCCAAATCCTAGAAAAAATTAACATTTATTACAATGTTTTTGTTACAGCTGATGTAAAGATTAACCTTCCTGTTTGATTTCCTCCTGATAACTAAAAGAATCGAAAGACAGCTATTTGTCTGTAATCAAGGTTGCAGAAAATCAATACAAAATGTCAAATCAAATCAATACAGCAAAGTATAAAAAAAAAACTTGATAAAAGTCCAAATCAAACGAAATAATCAGATAAGGTTTGTTTTAGTCATTGTAAAAGCCTGGTTGCGTAACATTTTGAAGAAAAGACAATGTGAAATGAGCTGCTCATGAAATGTTTTCCAGCTTGTCATGGAGCCTCTTTGCTGATTCATATCTCACATGTTCACATACGATAGTGACGATAGTTGATGTTCAGCAGAATGAGGAAGATACTGACACTTACCGAAAGAATGTGGAACGAGGAACAACACGTCTATTGTCTTTTTCTGTCATCAGGCGCTAGTGATGTTCCAAGCTTTGTAAGAATTGAAAATGCAATTGAATTATTTGAAAGATACTGGCAGACATGATGAATATGACAAATTGTAAGCTATGTTGTTTTTTTTTTACTAATTGAAACATGAAGCTTTAGCAAAAGTCTGATTTGAGCTAATTAGTGACCAAAGTGAACAGGCTTATTGGGCTGATGTGATTTTACCAATGCAATGTATAAAATGTCAGTTTCTTGGCACCATGTACGTCAAGATCAGATCATCAAATAGGCCTTACTGAGATGTTTCATTCTCTTCTTCAAAGATGCACATGGCAATCCTTAGCATGGCTAAAAACTAGGCTGATTGAATAGTCTCAAGTCATTATTGTCTCTGAATCTAATCAAGCTCTGAAAGAGACACTCTTTTATAGACCAGTCATAAAAGTTGTTTAAATATTTCAGGCCAGACCAAGTGGTGGACTGACCCAACAACTGAAAGTCTCATCCTGCCAAACAAAGAGAAAGCGTCCCCACAGACATCCGTTGTTTTTCAAGTTTGGTCAGTGTAAACAGCATAAACTTTACTGACATTTCAAAGTTTCATATTACACGATGAACAAATGGGAATGAGCAGATTTTGATGACTACATCCATTGTCAACACAACATTTTCTCAACTATTAATTATGGTCACTTTGTCTTATTGAACTGTTACAGCCATGTTGTGGATAGTTTACGACTCACATTTTCTCCACCAGAAATGGTTAAAGTTTGTTTGTCGTTTGAGTATTGTTCATACTCCGTCTCTCCTCTTTGTATTTGTTCTGCGTCTCTTTCATTTGCAAACACACAGCAGTGGTCACAGCTCATTGGAGGTTTCTCTCTCGAGCAAATAGTCCAAACCTACAAGACAAACAGAGTTACTTAATCAAACTTGATTGGAGTCACTCTGACATCTCTCTGCTAATGCATGCAAATAACAGAAACAACAATTAATCAAACCTTAATTAAATTAAACCTTACTTAAATCCCAAGCTGAAAAGGAAAAACAAACAAAGATGTAATTGAAGCGACGTCACTCATGTTTTGAAATGGTTTGTCACTCATAGGAGCCAGGAAGTCCAAATGTGGGCAGAGCAGGGTTCAGGTTCAGACTGGGTCAGGCAAAATGGACAGATGGGATGTGTATGTGACTTCCAAGCTTTTTGCAGCCAGCATCAAGTGACTGCTACATTGGCTTCCTTTTTTTCACCCACGGACGTTGCTGCTTGGTTAGCATACAGGAATATTGAAGTGTTTTAAAGAGGACATATTATCCCACTTTTCCCCCTTTTCAAACAGTCCCCCTGTGGTCTAAATGAAACATCTGTGCTGTGCTTTGGTCAAAATATAACATGAATCAAGCACCAGAGGAGGTTTGTGACCCTGTATAAACCAGCTCTCTCAGAACACTCTGTTTTGGTGTGTGTGTCTCTTTAAATGCAATGACACCCCCTGAGTTTTCACAGTAGACATCACTCCTCTGTAGAGAGAATAAAAATGGCAGATCTGAGCAAATGTTTTGTTCTAGGCTGGGGGTGGAGTCCATGGGTGGAGATACCAGGGAAGGGGAGGGTATTTTTATTACCAGAATCCCACTGTGACATCACAAGGAGAGCAAATTTGAAATGGGGCATTTTTCTCTGTGTTGTAAGACTTATGCAGACCACAAACAAAGGACTGGATGGGTTTATTTCACATTTTGTGGGTCAGTAGACACTCAGGTTACCCAAATAAATGTTCACAAACACTGTAACAGTGGATTTTCACAATATGTCCCATTTAACGTTTTGCACATTTTAAGTAACAGCATAATTCGGTAATCTTGACTAAACTATTGAGAGTCTAGAGCTCAAATAACTGAGTTGTGTTCCCATTGATATCCAGGAATTAAATAAACTTGGCAGGTCACTGAAGAAACATTAGGGCATGCCTCTTTGTACTTTTTGAATTTATTTATACACATATCTTTTTACCATAAAATAAATGCATCAAAGCTCTGTGTTTATCTGTTACCCAACTTTGTTCAGCTTTGTTGACCTTGCTGTCATGACTATATATTTCTTACTTCCTTGTTACTACACGTAACTATTCCAATGGAAGTATGTCACAAGATGTTGTCAACTATACTTATAGTGGCTGCCATTGTGTGAAGGTTTGACATTCAATCCTACTAAAATACATTCAATTTTTTTTTTTTTTAATTTTGCATTCAAAGTTGACATGATAACAAGTTTTTCCTTACTGCATTTTTCTCTCTAAAGTGTCACATTTTGTTTTATTTTAATTCATACAATAGATCTAGTAGGGTTGATCCTTTTGTAGTTAAACAAACACAATTGTCACTGGGGGAAAACCGAAAAGAACAAGTAACCTGAAAGGAATGTTACATGATCACTCTGTTGGCTTTTACTCGAAAACCACACGGGGTAATGACACCTAACAGTCCGGTTTCTGTCTTCCCGCATTGTTAATAACAAAGTGCCATCAGCAGGAAACACCACAACGTTTCTTTGAAATGAACCATGACGATTTCATTTTACAAGATCATAAAAGTGAAAAACGTTAGAGTGAAATGATCACAAAAACATTTTCATCATTATTCTTTTTTTAAACCTGTTTTTCTTCGTTGAATATTCGGCCACTTTTACTGGACTGTATTATTACTATCACCTGCTTTTTTTCTCTGCTTGTGTTGTATTTGGTTTCGATCCAACTTTTATTGATGTTGTATTTTTTTTACTTATAAGTTGTTCCATTCATGATTAACATTGTTAAACTGCATAAACTTCATGTTTAGACTAATAAACTTGCTTTGTGAATTCACTGACTTTAAATTAACAAGTGTGAACAATCAATTCAAACTAATTAAAAAACTGTATCTGTCGCGGGGGGGGATGGAAAGGCACATAGATCAGTAGCCCACACTGCAGGGTAGACTGAAAATATAGAAATATAAAATGTATTACTAAAACTTAAACGCAAAATACATATACAGTAGAATAAAGATAATTCAGTGAATTGTACACAAATGTCTTGAAACAGATAGATTGCAGTAAAGAGACAGATCCGCACACTGTTCAGTTCCCAATGAGCCTTTTTATTTAGGGCAACGTTTCGATGCAAATGATCTTCTTCAGGCAAATGCAGCAGGAGACAAGCAATCTTTTCTAAACTTTGGCAATCACGCAAAACAATCATTATCCCCATGACCATCTGCATGTTTTCGTGTCCTACACCTGTATGTAATTTTCATGGATTTGCACAGAGCTGCATGCTATCTCTGTTCTCTTTTTTAAAACAGATAGATATCATAAGTTTACAGAAGAGTGTAACATTTTTTAGATAATATTTCTAGCTTTGATTTCATAATGTTGGAAGTGTTGCAGCTTTTCTTTGACTTCATATGAAGAGATATGGAGGCTTGTTTGATGAAAAAAATCCTTTCTACCTCTTAAAACAGTCTAAATGAAACATCTGTGCTGTGCTTTGGTCAAAATTTAACATGAATGGAGCACCAGAGGAGGTTTGTGACCCTGTATAAACCAGCTCTCTCAGAACGCTTCGTTTTGGTGTGTGTGTCTCTTTAAATGCAACGAGCCCCCCCTGAGTTTTCACGATAGACATACATAGATAATATATTTCTATCTTTGATTTCATAATGTTGGAAGTGTTGCAGCTTTTCTTTGACTTCATATGAAGAGATACGGAGGTTTGTTTGATGATCAACAACTGGAAATGGATTTTCCACATTAAGAATCACAAGGCTTTTTTAATGGAGAACTTTTCCTGCACCTTCAGGCGTGCTGGTAGTTGGTCGGTAAGTCAGGTGGTTTCATACAAGGCCACGCCCACTTCAGGATACTGCCATCCCCCACACCCACAGCTCTCCTGCATCATGCCCTCTGAGCATCAACGCTGGCTGATTTAAACCTTTCCCGCAGGTATCAAACGCACACAGACGAGCAGTAACAGCTGAACAAAGAACATTCCTGCAACTCAGCATCTCACTCTCACAGCTCAGGTAAGTCTTAAGGAGGGAAAACAGGACATTTTAGCAAACTGCATGTTCATATTTGGACTCTCCTGGATGACTATTTTCTGTGTTTTTCATAATTTATTCACTTTTTCATTATTTTCTCATTTTAATTAAGTGAAATGTGAGACGTAAAAGTATTGTACTGTGTTACAGCAAACAGATAGTCATGATTAAAAGATGTTGACTCTTCATGTAAATGCTGAACAAAACCATGAAGTCCAGGACATTGAAATTCTTTATTTTCTCTATTTTTCTTTCAGTATTAAATATTTTAATTGTGGCTGTTTTTAATAGCTAACTGTGCCGAATATAACTGAAAAAGATGCATTATGGACCTTTGATTTTTATTTATTTATTTGTAATATTATTATTTTTTAAGGTTTAATTTTGGGGCTTTTATACCTTTATTTAGAGATAGGTCAGTTGATTCAGTCAGAAATTGGGGCGAGAGAGAGAGAGAGAGAGAGAGGGAGAGAGTGGGGAATGACATGTGGGAAAGAGCCACTGATTTGAACCCGGGCCGCCCGCTAGGAGGACAGCAGCCTCCGTACATGTGGTGTGCGCACTAACCACTAGGCTACCAGCGCCCCTTGAATGAGTAATTCTTCTAATTATCCCACTATTACAGTAAATCTCAGAACTGCTTATGTTTCCTGTATTATTATATTTGTCGTTGAGTTTTAAATTCTCCTCTGCAAAATTAAGATCTGAAGATGTGATTGTGAAAGCTGTTGACGTTTTTTTCTTAAATGTTTGACTGTTTGAGCATGATGTTTGAAGGCATTGTTCTACGCCTTAAGTTAATATGCTGAGGACTTAAGTGGATCTGTTACGCAACAGTAAAGATTTCCTTCATCAACTCATCCAATCAAATCTAAATGTCTTCATATATTACTTTAACTATGATTACAAAATATGTTACTTGGCATCACAAAAAAAACACTTTGTAATTATTTAGTAAATGTGCTTCAAGTAATGTTTAATTCAGATTTCTCCAGAGAAGTATGATGAGTGTTAACATAATCTCTCCTCTCGATCTTTTGCTTATTTGCTCTGTCATGCTATCAGGGATGGAACGAGGATTGATCCTGTTGGTCGCTGCGGCACTGATGGCTTATGTGGCACCTGGTGTCCAAGGAACATCCCATTTGTCATTCTCCAATAACACAGAGGTTAGCTTTCCGTCACTTTATCACAGTCTCCACCTTTTGTACTTTCAGCACTTTGCCTTAAACATTTATTAATGACAACAAACGAACATAAGTTTTACTGTAGAATACGAAATGATAAGTCTTTTAGCCTTAGAGGCATATGTTTGGCATTTCTATCCTTTTTATTGAACCAGTGTGAAAGTATTAAGAATGGTGTCTTTTGAACATGTTAACACTGATTATTTTGAAAAACTTTTATATTGTCATATTGATGCAGAAGAGGCGAATAAAGTGTGACTGTTAATATTGGTCAGGTTTCATAGTTGTACAATTTGCATAAAAGGCTAAATCAACCTGCATCCTGAATCCTGTGTCAGCCACTAGTTAACGGTGAAGTCCATTAAAATATAATGTCAACATGTTTACACCATAAAGGGGACATATTATGAAAAATATACATTTGGGTCTACCCACAAAATGTGAAATAAACCCATCCAGTCCTTTGTTTGTGGTCTGCATAAGTCTTACAACACAGAGAAATATTCCCTGTTTCAAATTTGCTCTCCTTGTGATGTCACAGTGGGATTCTGGTAAAAAAACAAAACCCTCCCCTCCCCTGGTATCTCCACCCATGGACTCCACTCCCAACCTAGAACAAAACTCAGGGGGGGGCTTGTTGCTTTTAAAGAGACACACACACCAAAACGGAGCGTTCTGAGAGAGCTGGTTTATACAGGGTCACAAACCTCCTCTGGTGCTTGATTCATGTTATATTTTGACCAAAACACAGCACAGATGTTTAATTTAGTCCACAGGGGGACTGTTTGGAAAAAGTGTAGAAGGGGGATAACATGTCCTTTAAAACATTATGAAGGCTAAGCTGGAAGTACTGGCTCATCTGTTTGACCCTCCCACAGCTCTGAATGGCTAAATAAAGTGAAGGGATCCGTTTTAAATTTAGGTTTTTACCAATTAACAGAATTAGACTCAGGCTGGACAACAGAAATAAGTCCATTAAGAGTATAGGTTCATATGATTTAGACCAGGGGTTCCAAAACTTATCAGCCTGCGACCCCAAAAATAACTATGCTAGCAACTGGGGACCCCATTGTCCTTGGAAAACATCTAATATTGTGCACAGCCAGACACACTATTACGCCTATCCAAATCAAGGCATTAGAACAGCACAAACACATAATATCATTTTAGTAATCTAAGAAACGCTAGAAGAAGAACACCTGTAATCTCTTGAACTACTTTTTTTTTTTATATATTGTCACAATAATGGATAAGATGCTATTTTTGACTTTTATATGTTTTTGGAAAGAATCTCTCAACCCCACTGTCTCAAGACCCCCCAGGGGGCCCCGACCCTGGGAAGTCATACTTCTGTGATCTGTTTTTTTTTTTTTTTTTTCAACAAGCTGTGACTTTGTGTCATTTCCAGGTGAACATCACTCGGGATGGTTGTGGAGTCACAAAACTGTGTGTGGAGACTCCAAATGACTGTGATCCGTCTGCTACCAACGGCACCTGCCTGTTTGGATCCGCAACGGCCAGTACTCCGATGCCTCCTGCTGGCACTAACCTGATCATGGAGCTCAGAGGATTCTCCGAAGGATACGTCGCACTTGGACTCACCACAGATCAATCGCAGGTAACACACATTACAAATGTAAACATTCCCTACAGTCCCTACATCTCCAAACCCTTCACCATTTGAGGAACGTAAATTCAGAGAGACTAAATCTTACACTGTTTAGGTATAACAAAAACTACATGTCAGATATAAAGTGTTATAATGACTTTATAAATGTTCCAGGGTCATGATATCTATTACAGCATCGTTTTAATGTTATCCGCTGTTGCCAACAACCTAGCCCCATTAAAACAATGGCTTGCCTCTTTATTTGTAGAAGCAACTCACTGCCCATTGATTTAACATTGACTGATGACCACCTGCAAACAAACACCTGTTAAATAAAACATGGCCAGGTTACCATTATTGACTTAAAATGTATTTATTTAGAAGATAAGGACAGCTTGAACAGCCCATTAAATAACTGATCATTTTTTCTCTTAACCATTACATCCCTACATCTGTGATCTGAAGGCTGTAAAGAAACATCATTGTGTCCTTCATGGATAAAGAACTACATCACTTTTTTTTTTTTTTTTAAGAAGGCCTATTCCTAACTGTCATGCCTTCATATTTCACCTGCTGGGACAAACACAAGAAAAACCCCAAAAGTTTTTCCACAATCATTTTTCAAAACCAATCCAAGTACAAATTTCAACTGTTTAATGGGAAGACAAAACTCTATTGCATGTCTGCAAAAGGTCAAAGTTCACGCAAAACATTTGATTCTTGTGTCCAAACGGAGTCTTTGTGTCAGTAAATTTTTCATTGTTCCCCAAAATGAAAAGTAGTTTTGTCATCGTGTGAGTCTACCAGTCAAAACATCACTTTTTTCCATCTTTTTGATGTTTTTGTCACCATGTCAGTCAACAATGGAAAAGTTTCCTATATATAAATCATCTTATGTGTTTCCTCGTCCATTACTCTCAGCTGGCAGCTCATTCGTCAATTTAGAAGACACCACAAACATCCCGTGTTATGGATATTTATGGAATATACATAAAAGTCCGACTCTGTCTGGAGAATTTAGCTCTTGACGGCTCATATGATGGAAGAAACGAGTTTGACAGAGTTTGACTTTGCTGGACGAGCCGTTTGTAAATGTTGAATGCAATGCTGCATCTTGTGGGCTAAACAACAGGTTTCAGCTCCACCTGTTACTCAACCCAAAATGACAAAGCAAATAGTATTTTTGCCTTGTCATTGAGATAAGAAGGTCAAGGTCATAAGAAGGTCATACACAAGCGCTTGGAGTTTTAAGTAAAGTAATTCCATGTTATTTAGGTGACTAAAGTGAAAAAAATACAAATCAAACAAAGGGTATACTTTGGAAAATATGTTGTCACATGAGCCATAATTGTGCAATGAAAAGACTTCCCAGAACAATTAAAGAACTTGGCATGAACAAACAAAGGAAGTAAACTCCGAAGAACATTCAAAGGTGAACAGGCCGACCAAACAAGACTGACTGGAAAGTCAACACCTGTCTGGACTGTTTCATCACTTATTCCTTCCCCAAACAAAGGCTCATTGGATTTTTGTCACAGAAAGCTTTTAAGGGGATGCCAGAGCTAATCCTTTCATTCTGTTTGTTTCCTCAGGGCTCCACCATGCTTTTTGTCTGCGCTCAAAACAGCTCGAACAATGGGTCGTTCTTCTTCAGGACAATGCAGAGAAACAACACTAACGGTGCGCTCACTCCATTAGAGAGGGTGAGGCCTTAAAGTTACCATCATGAAGTTATTTTTAAAGGCAAATGGATTTGTCTTTTTACTAATTTAATTAAAGGTACCATATTATATCAAAGAAAGGCAGATCATTAAAGCCAATGCATGCATTTGTGAGGACATTTGGTATAAAGAAAACATCAACAATGTGTGATAAAAAACTATCTTTTGATTATAAAAGTGGTTTAACCAATGCTCCGACAGGGGTTTCTTTCCTGTTGATTTAATTGTCTTAAATACAAGTTTAATAAACTTGTAATGACTTCAACTTGACATAAAGCGGACAAGGCTGGTCCCTGATTGGCCATCGTTTTCTTCTTTGCTCTACCTTTGCCTTGTTGTATTCCCTTTGCTTAACTATGCTGTATATCCCTCCTGTGTGGCCTTAACCATGTCTTACTTTGTGTCACCCGCCTTGTTAGACTGTGAGAGAAATTCGAGGCATGGTGAATGTCATGGTGAATGGCAGCGTAATCAAGTGTGAGTTCGAAATCCCAAATGCAAACGCCAGCAGGGCTGTTAAAGATGCGTCCACCAACTTCCAAGTCCTCCTTGGGACTGGACCTGTTGTTGGAGGTAAGTGGAGACACAAAAACACCATCGGTAGAGGAAACAAAAACAACAACTTAAATACTGTTTTAAAATGATTGGGCTTGACTTGAGTGTGAGAATGACCTGCTAACCCCACTTCTACTCAGGGTCAAATATTTATACTTTTGAAATGATGAAAGCAGAAACCTGTTTCTTAAGAAGTCCTGATTTGGAGTTTTGATTTTTCTCCTTGACTACACTTTGTATTGTGATGTTCAATCTCTCCTCGTTTTATTCTTCAGGTATGATCGGGGACTTCAGAATTGCCCTGAACACTACTTTGCTGACCCTCACAAACCCGGCCAGCACCAACGTCGCCACAACAGCCACCCCGGTCGCCATGACAACGAATTCAGCATCCAATGGTGCACACCCTCATGGTAAACAACACACTTTGATTATGTTTGTTTCCAAATATTTATACTTTTTGCGTTTAGAATTCACGGTCAGGGAGAGTTTTGTCTCCATATCTAACACAGTGGAGGGCGATCAAAGACACAGACAATTGACCCAACACGTTAGTTGAATTCAAATAAACCAGAATGGTTGGATAGATGGGTTAACATCCAGATTGATGTGTAATGGCCTGCAAGAAATATTATCAGAGCAATAAACAAGATAACAAGATAAGGAGCCACTACATTTGATTTCACTGATCCAAATGGTCAACGTGTTGGAGGAACGTGCTTTATATTATATAATGTTACTTTGGTAATAATGTGAAAACCAAGACAAAGTGTTTCATCCAGTGTGCAGCGGGCCAGCTAAAAAAAAAGATCATTAGGTAACTTTTCTTACTTTCAATCATGAACTTCTGCATTAAGAAAACGCATGTACAGTACTGTGCAAAGTCAACCATATTGATTTCTCCGTCTCTATTTTAAGATACAATCAGAAAGTTCAGGAAAAATCTTCAAAAACCAAACCAAACACTATTATTATCAGGACAAATGGTTTTGTTAAGGCAAGAGTCAGAATCAGAATCAGAATCAGAATCGTTTTTTATTGCCCAGTACATTTACACATTCAAGGAATGTGTCTTGGTGTATTGGTGTGAAAAACAGTTAACACAGGAAATAAAGCGAAAATAGCAAGAACTTAAATAATAAAATATGGAAGCAAGTAAAATATATAATATACAATTTAAAAATGTAAAAATATAAGAAACAAAATGTGCAATGCAGAATGCCGATGAACGCATTTAGTGTGACTTCCTTTTGCACTTTTGAACTATTTCGGGGAGTCTGTCTTGACGTTTTCTTGAGTAATCTCCTGGTATACGAAACCAGTTTTCTTCAGCACTTCTCAGTTCTTCTGATTTAGGCATCCTTTCATTTCTTCCTCTGTCCAGGTGATCTTTAATATACAGGTCTGGACACTGTCAGTGTCATATCAGCTGTTATTCTCTCCTAATATGATTTCACTGCACAAGCAACACATCTCTAATCCATCAATCTTCATTTGTGTAGCGCCAATTCATAACAAATGTTATCGCGAGACACTTTACAAAAAGCAGATAACAGACGTTACTCGTTGTTAGAAGCAGTGGGGCTTGAGATCATTGTCATGCTGATTGTTAGCATGGACTGAACTTTGAAACTCAATGTGAAAACCGTCTAAAGGCTGCAATACAGTTCAAAATATATTCTGAATTTTGTTCACAAGATAAGAAGATAAGAAGCAGAGACAAGATAACCTTGATGATGCGACACACCAAGTGTTGAACGCAAAATAAATGTGGTATTAATGAGGATTTTTGGAGAATATATATATCTAGACATTATAAAGAAGATGATTGGTTGGAAAACAGATTTCCGGACCAATAAAAGTTTCATATCTCTGAGAAAATGTAGCTTTTTGCATTTGGAGTAAGTTACATTATTGTTGTCTCATTTAAGAGCACATAGCAGACCTTAATGGAGCAACATTTTTCTGACCAGTGTTTCTTTGCTTCCAGCAGTGCTGTTCCTCCTGAGCGTCCTCTCACTGGCCGTCATGCTCAGAACCTAAAGGTGTCCTGCAGGAGGAAGTCCATACCAGCCGGACACGATGAAGACGCTGATGCGCTGGATTACCGCACAGAGAAAAACTGAGTGTCAACCTGATGTATAAAATATTTTTACTTAAATAACTTTGACATGTTGAAACTATTTTTTTTTTTGCACTATGTTTGTACTTTATATATACATAATAATCCAATGGCATTTTGAAAGCACATCTTGAGGTTTCACCACCCAATCATTCTCCGCATAGCACTACAGAATCAGATAAGCGCCTCCAGGTTTAAAATGGTGCAAACAACCAAAACACCGTCGACCTGGCAGCACAAGCCTGTTTCGCTCCAACGAGTTTGAGCTGTTTAGCAGAAAACAGCCATCAGAAAACCCAACCCAACTCAGGATCGTTTGTTTTCATAGTTATATGTGAATGTAACGCTTGTTAAACAATAAAGTTCAACGGACTCTGAAGTCATTATTGAATTGTGTACTTGTTATGCACGATATTCCCTCTCAGTCCAGATTCTCCTGCACGGCCTGAAATACGACTAAGGTCGTCAGATGTCGCACTTGTAATGGGCAAGAAAATGTCCGATTGATAAACACAGCAAATTGAGAAATTTTGGATTGAATGATTTTACAACTAATTAAATCTTTGAGTCTTCTTCTGTGTTAGATCCTCAAGGCTTAATGTGAACATTTGAATTAATGGTATTATCAGGGCAGTGATCCAAACCCCAAGGGTCAAAAGATTATTTTGAATTAGAATCAGCTCCTCACATTTAGGAGTATTTATGACATTGTTTAATATTTAACATGTAACCGATGGTTATTACTGCAGTTTCGAGTTGTTTGTGGGTTTTGGGTATCACAGCATGGTTTGGCAACCTGTCTGTGCAGTTAAAAAAAAACTGATCTGATTGATTAAAGGCTGCATGGAAACTTATAGGAGGTAAACATCACACATCCCTGCAGACATTTTTTTTTCTTCATACAGAGTACGCGCTGCTGAACAGAAAAGTTCATTTATCCTGTTTCTATAAAAAATGTGAATAGTGGCAAATCAGACATATAGGGAATGGAATATAATTTGTCTTTGCGTGTTTGCACTGGTATTTTAGGAAACTGATGTCATTTTTTTCTGGACATGTTTGTTTGATGTGGATGATGTTGACTGATGTCTTTTTTTTTTATGGTTGAAGCACGGGTGAAGAACCCAAGAGTAATTATAAATGAAATAATAAAAGTTCATCTTGAATCTTGGGGTTCTGTTTGCCTTGGTTTCCTCTATAAACACTACTACTTTCCTTCAGGGGGCAGGTTCACTTTCAGGATTACAAATCATAGAAAATAATCTCTGCAGACCTGAATGTAGGACAGGTGCGACAGGAGGGTAAAACTCTTCTACCTGATGAAGGTTGGACTGAAACATTGTGCGATCTAATAAATATGTAAGCATAAAGCGAGACAGTGTGTGGGAGCCTCTCTCGTCGCCTTTAGGGATTACAAATCAGACACTAACTTTCAAAATATCCTGTTTTTCCCTTTTTTATTCCCGTGTACAAACTCCGATTTCATCCCTTATGGTCGACATTTGTTCCTCAAGAAAATAGACAGGTAAAAATCAATTTTAATATTTTATTGCAATTTATTCCTTTACAGTTAAACTGAAACCAAATAGTATAAAAAACTGACAATAACATACGGACACACAAGGTCAAACACACCGATGAGGAAAACAAACACACTGAGCCTAAAAACGGTCTTTTTGCAGCTGAATGTCCGTCGTCGCGTTAAGACATGTCCGTCGAGCTGTCGTCTCTGAGAACAGCAAACAGTCCCGTGTTTCCACCTTCTCTCCAAAAGACCAGTAATGACGCATAAAAACACAAACCTACAGCTAGTCCGTCCTCTGACAGCGATACTGGACAACTGGCCAAAGTTACAAAGAAAAACAAAAAGAAGAGATAATCTGCTTCAGGGACAATGGGACAACAGAGTGTGTGTGCACCATGCTTCTGTGTGTGTGTGTGTTTGCTTCTTGTATCTACAACATGAGTGTTAAAACAGGAGTCCAATTTCCTACACTGAGCTGTGTGTACGCTGCATGCGTTCGTGTGGTCCATCCTTCCTTCCTTCCTTCCTACGAGTCGTCCTCGCCGTTGATGCTGTCGCCATCGTCGTCACCCTCCACATGCTCCCCTTCCTCCTCCTCGTCATCGTCTTCATCCTCCCTCTCCTGACTCTTCACCTGCAGTTTGTTAGAGCATCATTATTATTTTTTTTAATAAACTCACAACCGAGTGACAAAGAGTGCTAAAACACAAAAGGTCAAAATGTGGTTGAACAGGATTTCTGCATGTAGCACATAATCACTGTCTAAGTGTTTATGTCTCACCTCTTCCTCTTCCAGCAGGTCACCTTCGTCTTCCTCGTCGTCGTCCTCGTCCGAGTCGTTCATCTCCTGGCTCTCTCTGTCTCTCTTCATCCCGTCATCCTTCTTGTTGCTCGGGTGCGGAGGAGAAGTCACCTCTCCTGGCTCCGTTTTAATGCTCTTAACTTTTGGCAGACAAAAAGGAACATGATTATCCGTTCTATCGAAAGAGGTCAAGAGGTCGTCAAACTACTTTTAATCGTTGTGTTTCAAACAACCTGCCGATAGACTAGACAATCAAGTGTGCTATAAAAAAATTTTAAAAAACACTGTGTACTCACACCTACCCGACTTCTTGCTGTGGTCCTTCTCCATGCGCTCCAGACTGTCCAGCAGGTCGTCCACCTTGCTTTTGATTTGGGTCAACTCCCGCTTGATGGTCTGCAGCTGGTCCACTTTCACTGCAGCGAGAAGAGAAGAAGAGGGAAGGGTAAAAAGACATCTGGGAGGAGCAAATTTATCAGGAGTAGCAAGATGGAGACAAAGCGCTCGTGCTCATAATGGCGGCTGTATCCTCCACTTAGCGGAGATGCTTACTTGCTCTGGATGAAGAATTCCTCTGACTGCTCTTGGAGGAAGAGGTGAAGCTACTCTTGGTCCGCCTGCTGCTCCCCCCGCTCAGGCTGACCCGCGGACGCTTGGAGGGGATCACGGCCCGAGACAAAGGGGGAGGGGGAGCGGGAACACGGGACGGGTACGAGTACATTCTGGTATCGGACACAGAGAGAGAAAGGAATGACAAATCACTGGAGGAGTTTACGGATAATGGTGTAAAACGTGAATCTGAATGCATTTCAGAGACAGAAAATACAGATGAAGATCCAGACAAACAGGGGGACTCCTCATATTTTAACTCTGAGAGACAGTGAAACATTTTACTCACCTATCGTAATAATCTCTCTGAAAGTCGTAGTCGAGCTCAAATGAGGAACTGCTGTTAAGGAAGAAGAAAAGTGTTGATGTTAGAAAACATGGTTAACAGCGTCATTCATTCTTACACAAAATTAGCTTGAAGGTTTAGACTTTTTTTCAGTTCTTATATTCATCTCTGGTTTGATTTTCTTTGATTCACTGTCTGAAAAGTTCAGCCTGAGAGCTGAACTGATCGAACCCTCTCTAGTCAATGCTCGTGTTTCCACACCGCAGTCCGGCTCGTGCAGGACCTGTGGAATCCACCAGGAGGTGTGTTAATGACTGACCTGTACATGTCTCCGGCTGAGCGTTTGGTGGTTTTTGACCGGTGTGGTTTGGGCTCTCCTGCCAGGTTGATGTCTGAGGGAAACAAATCAGAGAAAAGGAGAAAGACGTTAAGATCTAATAACTAAGTAACTCTAATTTAAAAAAATACTGATTATAAAAAGAAACTAAATCCCACAAAACTATTTGATCTGGCATCTTTTTTAACCTACTGTTGGAGATTTGTTCGTTCATCGTTCGTCTCTATTAAAAACTCATTTTACTTTTGATGAGTGATGGAAGTGATGAACAGATCCACACACACTGTCTACTCTTTGACTGATTTCTTTACGTGTAGAACCTTTAAGTGGCTCAAGTAAACATTCCTCGTAGCCCCGTCTGAAGCTTTAGTGTAGAAACTCTGGCTGTGTTGACTGTTATCTACAGAACGCCGTACTTCTGTTAACTACCTCATACGTCGCCACTTCATAAAACCCAAACTGCCCCTCTGATGCGAATCTCTTAGTCCTTACCAAGAACTTGTCCAACAATCATCCTCCCGTCCTCCCCATTCACTGCAGCTCTGGCGTTCCTCTCGTTGGCGAACTGAACGAAGGCAAAGCCCTTGTGGACGGAGCAGCCTACAATTTTACCATATTTGGAGAAGATGGCCTCCACGTCGGCCTTGGTGACCAGCAGGGTGTTGAGGTTTCCTATGAAGACCCGGGAGTTTAGGGAACGTGGGTCGGTCTTGTTGGTGACGTTGCTGGCGGCCATCAGGCTGGAGGTGGTGGGTGAATGCCTATCAGGGAGACACACAACACACACACACACGTCCAACAATTAGTGACAGACACAACTCTGAACTGATTCAGCTGTCGCTGGCTCAAACACTGGAGTGTCCTCAGCTGTGGAGGCTGTGAATAAAAAGGGAAAAAGGGTGGACATTATCTGCATTCTTTCCTGGGAAGATAAACCGTCAACATAAAAAAAAAACACAAAAGAGAAAACTGCAGGACCACAGGGTTTGATTTGAGGCCATCTTTGTTTTTTAAACCTTCAGGAGACCTGGGTGAAACCATCTTTTCCTTACATGCAGCGAGTGTAGCTGCTGGTTTTTCCCCCTTCTTATCAATAACCACATTTGAGGCCTCTACCACACTGGAACTGCAGACAGTAAAGATTATATTAATGGTACCAAAACATACACTGGCTCACTTATTAAGAAAGGTGCACTTAAGCAAACACTGAGAACAAAGAGGGAGCATAATGATCTGACTTCACTCTTCATGTATGAACTGTTGTTGGGGGTGATGGAGTTATATATCTATAAACAAAATACATAATAACCATGAGATAGGACTTTCAACTGCACAGGTTAAACATTAGCTGGATTTAAAGGGGCATTCTGCTAATCATTACACTCAATGAATGAGTCTCATACAAGACAATGATCATGTTTCATCAAGTCTTAAAAAAGTAACTGAGAGGTCACTTAGTAAGTCCTCTAAAGACAAGTGTTGAAAATCAGCATTTTGCTTAACAACAAATTCAATGCAAGAGGTGCTTGTGCATAACGGTGAGTTGTGATCCCAATGGCATTGCTATGTTCATGTAAAAATCACAAACTTACTTCTAAGCAAAAAATGTCTTGCCAATATTAAGTGTACAAAACAATAAAATAATGATTTCCCCGGGACGTTTGAATAGCTCGAGGAAGGAGAAGTGTAGGACATGTCGATGAATTCCTGAGCGACATTTTAATTAATGTAAGTCAAACTTCTCTTTAGACATTTGAGTCATTTTACAAAATATTGTAAGGATTTTTTTTCTGAATAATCTGTGAACTCTATAGGTTTTCT